ATAAGCTTGGAGTATTACAATTTTGTTAACTAAATTGAAACAGGCACGCCCGCCGGCGCCCCTCCACGGTTCGATTTGGCGCCCTGGGCTATTATGTGAGCGCTATGGTGCATAATTTCGTTTTAAACAGTGCGATAGACTTTGAATAAGAAAGGTTACTATAGTCTTTAAGTGAATCAAATCCGGGCGTCCTCCGGCACCCCGACAGGGTGCTATTTGGCGCCCCGGGCCTTCCCGTGTTCGCTATAGTACCTACGTTCGCGTAAGTGAGTTCAAAAGACTATGAATAAGTTGGGTACTATAGTCGTTTACTAAGTTGAATCAGGCGGTTACGCCTCACGTCGTCATGCTGCGATTTGGCGCCCCGGGCTAGACTGTGGACACTTTGAGTTTATATTTGCGTTTGTGTTTTCTTTGTGTTAGGGTTTGTGGTTGTGTTTGTGTTTGCGTTTGGATTTGTTTTCGTTTGCTTTTTTCTTTGCGTTTGTGTTTTCTTTGTGTTTGTGGTTGTGTTTGTGTTTTCGTTTGTGTTTGTATTATGTTTGCGTTGTTTTGTGTGTGTGTGTGTGTGTTTTGGTTTCGTTTGGTTGTGGCTGGGTTTGTGTTTGGATTTGTTTTTGTTTGCTTTTTTGTTTGCGTTAGTGTTTTCTTTGTGTTTGTGGTTGGGTTTGTCTTTGCGTTTGTTTTTGTGTTATCGTTTGTGTTTGTTTTGTGTTATGTTTGCGTTTTTTGTGTGTTTTGGTTGGTTGTGGTTAGGGTGGGCAATGCCGGGTAAATGCTGATTACTAAACACACAAGTTATGGTCCTTTACAGATAGATCTACGTTTTTCACAGAGGCCAGAGCATGGCCTGGCCGGGACGGCTAGTATTATATAAAAAGCAGCCATTTGTAAAATAGAGTGGCTTCCCCTGAATCTCGCACTAAGGGCCTGTAAGTTTACAAAAAAATTTACTACAAAAAATAACCTAAACAAGATGGCTGCTAGATCTAGATTTATATCTAGTCTAGTAAATGAGCATGGTTGCATCTGTTCGAAACATCGCTAGTCTTCATTTATTACTGAAAAGTTTCAATTCAATTGTTTAAAAACAGGTACAATCAGGTAGATCTAGATCTACATAAAATAAATGAAACAAAGAAACATTTTTTGTATTTTTCAAAACATAAATCCTCCTCAAAATGTGAAATAATTATTAAAATTTAAGGAGTCACCTGTTTTTCACAGTTTTTAGTAGTTTTTACTAGTCGCGGGCGATTTTACGTACCTAGAACAATAGATTACCATTGATTCTATATATAATATATACTATATAGATCTAGATCTATACACTAACTTCTAAGTCCAAATATTAAATAGTATATAATAAATATTAAGGAAGCGGCTATTGGGACCCGGGTCCTAATAGCCTCGGCCGCTATTGGGCCCCGGCATTAAGTACGTTAAGCACTTGTACAACCTGTATTAAAATTATACCTTTTATGTTTATTTGATTTTTCTTGTGCATTTGCTCGTATTTTGTTGTCTTTTATTGTAATTAGTTAGGCGGATTATCTAGCATTGGTTCTTGTGTTGCTATTTCTAAATACCCTATATTTAGTATTATTTAGCTATTTATACAAAATCATTAAATACTTAATAATAAATGTAAGACGTCGTGGTCGAGTGGAGAACACAGTACCTCCCGAATCTCGATCAGTTACGGGATCAAAACCTATCAAAGCTCTCGATTTTGCGTGAAGTAAGTTTATCTAAGTTTAACATCCAATTGAGTTGTTTGCGTGTCTTTTTTTAATTGTTTTTTTTTAAATAAATTTTTTTTCTTCTAGATTTAGGTTTTTAAACACGTCAATTATAAACATCGTTGCACCATTGATCGCCCGCTCACGTTTTCTGGTCAGCGCAAGAAAAATACCGACACTGTCTAGCCAGGGTCACTGTGAGTTCACTTTGATTTAGATGTGAACAGTGTAGGTGTATAGCATACGTCATAGCAAGACCATTACTATGAGCTTGTCGAGATTTGTCGTCGTTGTAGTGCCCCCCCCCCTCCCCCTCCCAGCCCAACAAGAGGGAAAAACGAATTTGGGGTCATTGTGAGTTCAAATGTTACAGATTGCTTCTATTAAAGCATACTACAACGCATGCGAGATATTCGTGTTCAAGAAAACGGGCCCGGGAGCTGTAGTCTGCTGCCTATATGAGCTATCTATATACATATATATATACATATATATACATATATATATATATATATATATATATATATATATATATATATATATATATATATATATATATATATTAGGATGGATAGACCTATGAAATCAAATTACGTTTAACAGAAGAAAATAAATAAAACACATTTTTACATGCGCGCTCAACATTCGCTCGGCCATGAAAGTTTATACCATAGGCCATAATTATGTTATAGACCTAACGACACCCGCTCATAATAACAGTTGTCAGGAATGATATCAGGTATTTAAAGCAAGATCTCAATATATCATTTTGAATTACAAGGAAAAAAACCACAACAGAAAATATATATTCTGCATCTTAAAAGAATTTTTTGTATAACTAAATCTTAAGAATTCTATTGGATGGTCCCAATAGCGGCCGAGGCTATTAGGACCCGGGTCTGAATAGATGCATCCAAATATTAAATATTATTACTAGATTTATTAAATTATTAGACTTAGTATCTATCGGTAATCTATTGTTTTATGTGCGTTCAATCGTCGGAGGCTAGTATTACTAGTAAGAATGTGAGAAAAAGTTGCCTCATCGTTAAGGCTTTAATAGAAGTATTATTGTGATATATTTATTTGTGTCAAATAGTATTCAGGGTTCATGCGGCCTCCTGAAATTCCAGGAGGTCATGGAAAACTCATAAAATTTTAAAAATTATAAAAACCTCCTGAATTTCTCATGAAATTTTTAAAAATTGTAAAAACTCCTGGAATTCTCATGAAATTGTAGAAATCTCCTGGAATTCTCATGAAATTTTAAAAAATCTCTTGAAATTCCGAATTTTCCACTGATGTTTTCAGTTAAATATTTTTGCAAAAAATTGTTAAAAAGTAGATCTATTATAAAATATTGCCAATCTTTGAAGGACAAATACATCAGCCAAGCTCGGTTCGTGTTTGATACAGTTTGTTTTAGGAAAAATAAAAATGACGTCACAGGCAATCTTAAATAGCAGTGTTATTCCTGCTGTGACGTGCGCTCTAGGCCTATTATATTCTGACCTCAAATGAGCTCACTGCGACATTTGTACTATTTCTTGTGATTTTAAAAATTTCCTGGAATTTATTTTAAACTCCTGGAAATCTCCTGGAAAACTCATGGAATTTATTTTTAGTTTTGGAGCATGAACCCTGATATTGGTAACTGAATAATAAACCAAAATCGATGACTAAATTAACTAAATATATCAATATAGGTCAGAAATTAACTTTAAATAGCAGTGTTTATGAGCAAGATTTGCAATAAAATCAATGGCCATCTGTAAGTTAGAGTGGTTTCCCCTGAATCTCAAACTATAATTTTACCAAAAAAAAAACTTAAGATGGCTTTTCAAGTAAATGAGCTTGGTTCCACTGATGAAAACATTGCTAGTCTTAATTTTTTTACTGAAAAGTTTTAATACAATTGTTTAAAAAACAGGTACATTAATGAAGCTTTGAAACATTTTTGTAACTTTCAAAACATAAATCCTCCTAAAAATGTAAAATAATTTTAAAATTTTTAGAGTCACCTTTTTTTTACATTACTAGTCTTGGCTGATTTTACGTACCTAATACGATAGATTACCCAACTATCTAACCATATATTTTATATCTACACTAGGGTAGATATTTCAAGTTCACCCTTTAAATCTCTAGCAGAACAAATCCCTGGCCTAACTCAAGTTGCCGAAATTCTACCATCCTTACCCTACCAATAAGTAATATGGCTAATAAACCTAAACCTTTAGATTACAATAATAAGTTAATAGAAGTTAATAACACTACAAACAACCTATTTTTTATGTAACAGTGAGTGGGGGAAAATGTCTTACAGAAAGTGTATACGAAATAAAGTCACAGATTTTGCTTGGAAAAAAGTCACAAAATGTTGCCAGCAGTTCTAAATAACTCCCTTTGTCTTTCCTTATGCATTTCTTGACACTTTCGGATGTTTCAGTATATTCTTCCAGGGCTTTTAATTTAGTAATCAGTGTGCCTCCCATCCAATGAGAGCCCTTTTTGCATGGTTTGACAGCATGAATGTGACTCCTTGAGTATGTGTAGCATTTTCATCCTCGTGGCCTGAGAACAGCAGTAGCTGTCCTTCTATTAGTCTTTTTTGTCCTCATCCACTCCATCTTGACTCGTTGATACCCAGGAAAGCTATTTTATAGTGTATCATTTCTGTGCCTACTTGGGTTACTTTTCCAGCTTCATACATTGTGCGGACATTCAAAGCTCCAATATTGATAATGATAGTTGACTTGGTGGAAATAATGGTAGTCGACCTGGTAGTTTCCAATACATATTGACTTTCACCACCCAGATTTATCAATTATCCATCAGGAGATCCATTCTTTCCCATGTCTGAGCTGTCTGTATTTCTCTTTGTCTGCATTTCTGTAGCGAGTTCTTTTTATGTTATAAGGTTGCTGACCTTACGTCTAGCTTTCGTCTAACCCCTACCCATACAGATCTTCCCAGCTTCGTTGAACCTGCCAGAAATTTACACTCTCACTTGAATAACTCTAGGGGTCATCGGGATACACAAGCTGCCTTGTTAAATTGTTAAATTTTAATAAAGTGGCAAAATCTTCTTATGGCTAATTTAAAAAATGGCATAAGGTTAGAAAGGTATATATGCCTTTAAAAACAAACATTTATAACTGTAAACCTATTCTACATGTTTTTTTTTAAATATTAATTTCAAATTCATGACAGAATATTCTGAATGCTATTTTTTTTGTAATACCTCTTTTTCCTCAGTTACACGCTTGTACCATAAAAGCTAACAAAATGAATGAAGTTAACTTTCAAACAGCTGTTGATGAAGAGGTAGCTAAATCAACAGAAATTAGTGAACTTGATGTTATAACTACAGATTCAGCAGCTGATGATCATACTAAAACACATATGACACAAGAGCTTTCTACTAATAATAACACAGAACATGTTTCAAATGGCCAGTTCAGTCCTTCATCTGATTCAACAAATAAAACTGGATATGAAAACAAGAACACAGTAGCAAAGCTGCACAAGTGTAAAAAGAAATATGAATGTGATGTGTGCCATAAAACATTTTTAAATAGGAAAGATTTATCTATGCATAAAATTCACTCTGGAGAAAAACCACACGAGTGTGGAGTGTGTCATAAAAAATTTATTCACAGGCAACACTTGTATAATCATACAAGAATTCACATCATTGATAAACCATATGAGTGTGAAGTATGCTGCAAGAAGTTTTTTAAGAGAAATGATTTATCTATGCATAAAATTCACTCAGGAGAGAAACCTTTTGAGTGCGAAGTATGTCATAAAAAATTTGCTTTTTTTACGAATCTAACCAGACATAACAAAACCCATTCTGGGGAGAAAATTGAAAATAATCATTCAGTAGATAAACCATATGAGTGTCGTGTATGTCATAAAAAGTTTAATTACATTAAGCAGTTGTACACTCATAATATATTTCATTTTGTAGATAAACCATACAAGTGTGAAGTATGTCACAAGAAGTTTTTTAATAGGAAATATTTATTAATGCATAAAATTCACTCTGGAGAAAAACCTTATGAGTGTGAAGTATGCCACAAAAAATTTCCTTTTATTACAAATCTATCCAGACATAAGAAAACTCATTTTGAAGAAAAATGTGAAGAAATTTATTCAAGTTTTAGAATGGATGTCATTCAGTCAATAGAAAAACCTTTTGAGTGTGAAGTATGCCACAAAAAATTTCCTTTTATTACAAATCTATCCAGACATAAGAAAACCCATTTTGAAGAAAAATGTGAAGAAACTTATTCAAGTTTTAGAATGGATGTCATTCAGTCAATAGAAAAACCTCATGAGTGTGAAGTATGCCACTTAAAATTTGCTTTAGTTAATAATCTATCCAGACATAAGAAAACTCATGTAATAGAAAAACCTGAAGAAATGGATTCAACTGTAAGAAAGAAACCAGACGACCTTCATTCAATAGAAAAACCTCATGAGTGTGGCTTGTGTCATAAAAAGTTTTACCGCAGGGAACAGTTATATTATCATAATAGAAGTCATGTAGGAGATAAACCATATGAGTGTGATGTCTGCCACAAAAAGTTTTCAGGAAATGGTTTTTTAAAAAAGCATAAGCTGACTCACACAGGACAGAATCTGTTTCAGTGTAATGTATGTCACAGAAAGTTTGTCTTCAGCAAACACCTAGCACAGCATAAACAAACTCACCATGCAGTAAAAACACATGAGTGTGATTTTTGCCACGAAAAGTTTGTGTTTTTTAAGCAATTATTGCTGCATAAAAAATTTCACTCTGCTGATAAATATTTCGAGTGTGGATGGTGTCACAAAAAGTTTTTAAGGAAGGATTCTTTGTCTCGACATGAACAGACTCATTCAGAATATAATACAGAAGAATGTCATTTGTGCAAAAAAAAATTTTTAAATAGTTTCTTTCTGTCCAAACATCTGTATTTGCATACAGTAATGTTACCAGTGGCAAAAAAGTGTGGAAAATGTGGAAAAAGGTTTACGAGGAGTGATACTCTGCAGAAGCATAAAGAAATGCATGCGGGTACAAGAAATAAAATACCTAAAAAGTTTGAAGTCCTCAAACAGGTTTTCTTGTAATGATAGTGTACACTTAGTGGAAACTTAGTAACTACATATGTGATGTAAAATTAGTTCATTGTAAGTTAAGCATGAAATAGTGTGATCCAGGACAATAAACCAAAACTGGCATGTGTTAATTTAAAGGAAATACCATTATCACATCAACTTAGTAACTTTGATTTATGATATTTGCCAAAGTTTTCCTAAAACAGGCAGTTTTTGAACTTTTTCAGCTCATTAAAACAGCATACAAAAATTACCATTGCAACCAGTAATGTGTATAATTTTGGAAAGTTGTAAGTTAGAATTTTTGTACATAATAGATCTAGTACTTATTATTTCTATCAGAAAGATTTTAAAATTTATTTGAAGCCTATGTGATGTACTGAAAATTATCCACAAAACAATGTCCTTCTAATGTAAGCCTTTGTTGTTAGATGTTATTATTAATAAAGATATGATCATAAATCTTTGTATTCAGTTAAATTACTAGTAATGGTGCTCTTAGTACTCTTAGCATACATAATGATTAGTTTGTATACTATTTTTAGTACATAAAACCTCATAGAAAACCATGTATTAATGACTCCATAACAGTAGATGGTTTTATTATTCCTCGGTTTAAAAAAATACATATTTTACAGGCAACCTCTGATAAATGCTTTAGTCACATCATGGAAAGTAAATAGTGCTTACCACACAATGCCTCTGTGGTATGGATCTTGAACATGAAGGCTACTGCAAGACTGCATTTTGTTCTAAGGTATCAATAGACATGATCATACCTAAAGAGAGAATTGCAATTTGTGGGATGAAAGACAGCTTCATTATCTCAAACATGCTGACTCCATTTTCTGGACTAGCACTTTTTCTGTAACTATTAAATAAAAAACTGAACAAAACAGAAAACTCAAGCTAATTATTATTAGAAATATTAACTTCAAGCAGCTTCACTGATCTATTTGTTATAGCAGGAGGTTGAAAGAATTATTAGAACGAGCCGACCCACAGCGAATCATACGCAGCTATTTAGTTGTTGTTTTTTCTACTTTTCAGTTCTTCATAATTTGTGAATTCGACACCACCAACGCTGCAAATATTTCTTTAAAACACTATAAGTAGCTCGTTAAGGACGATAACCCCCCCCCCACGTTTAAAATTGTTTCAAACTAAATTATCTGCCCCTAATAGTTGTCACTGAACCCGGCTCTGTTTGTAAACATTTAGAGTGAACCACAGCTCACCAGACCATGTAGGGGTGGGGGTGGTAGGGAGCACGTTTACAGCTTGTTTTCTAGCGTCTCCCAGAAGAGAATTATATATATACCAGCAGCTCTAAATCACTGACTCAGATGTTGCAGAGGTAGGCTATCTATAGTTGATATGGTGATCTCCCTTCAGGTTTCTTTACTACTAGTGACCATGAAAATCTCTCTGCTAGTCATGTTCCTTTTGAGCTGGATGTAAAGCCCCTCTCATTTTGTAGATCCTTGGCTTGTTACCTGCATTCATCCCAAGGACATGCCCCCCCCCCCCCCCCCTTTTTTCCTCTTCAGCATGGTCAGTGCCCACAGGATAAAAAAGAAGAAATATATTTATTTATATTTTCAATTTGTCATTTCTGAAATGAAAACATTTAAATAAAAACTAATTCAAAGATTTAAAAAGAGATAAAATAAACACCAAAGTTCTTATAATTTTTAATACAATATTATATAAATACAATAAATAATGCATCCTGTAGCAAAATTGTTCATGAAAGCTATTGATCATATATTAACAAGAAATAAACAAAAATATGTACAGAACAATAGTCTTACAACTACTTGATCCTTGTTTAACAGAATTGAAAAATTAGTAGTAACTCTCCAGAAAAACTCATTGACTATTGGGTACACAATCTATTGTGTATAATGGCTATAACATTGATAAGCATAAACGATAATAGTTGTGATTTCTCTACCATTTACTATTAAAGAGTTATTGTTGATCGTAGTACCACAATTGATTCTAATCCCTTAAGTGATAAGATTTTAAACCCAGAATAGAGATGAAGTTGGAATTTTTTTGTCTTAAAAAAAGTTTTTTTGCAACTGTGAATGATTCATGTATAATGAAAAAAAATGCTTTGTTAAAAAGATATAAAACATTGGTAGATAAACCAAAAACTGAAACCCTATTAATATTTCATGTATAATGAAAGAGACTATCTGGTTAAGGGGGCATGGAAATTGTATGAAGTTATGACAAGTATTATGAAATTTATGAAAGACTTCAAATAATTTATGCCATGGTGATTGCACTCCATTAAAATATATAACTCTCTCAAGTAACTATCACAGTTTGAAGAGAAAAGAGGCAAATGTGGGATTGAATGTCTTTACCAGGTATAACAATGCATCAGATAAAAAATTACAAATATATAATTCTCATTACATACACTGATGTTTCATTGTGCTATAAACCTGATGTATATATATTTTTGGGTTGTTTGCAGCATTATTTAATAGGTATAATAGGTTTTAAAAAGGTAATTTTAAAATAATGAGCCCAAGAATGGATTGAAAACCAATAAAATGAACCAGTAAAGCCAAATTTAAAAAAAAAAAAAATGGAGAACAAATTGAAAGATCCTTAAAGGCATAACATAATGCTTGGGCAAATATTATCAATCTTAAAAGCAACAAAAAGTAATTTTACTTGCCATAGAAATTAGAATAAGAAAAATGATAAAATAAAATGCCAGAAGCAAGTCTACATAAACAACTCTGGCTTGCAATAATTAACATTTTGATAAATAGGATGCTTTTAATGCTTGCATATACTATGGATACTTAATGCCAAAAAAAAAATGATTTTTAAAAATATTTATATGATGTAATCTATACATTTTAAACATGAACAAATTATTATCACTTGTATTATTATAACTTACAGTACAGCATTTATATTTCCAAAAAATTCTATTACATTTAACAAAATTGATTGCCATATATACTAAAATGATTTAACATATTTTAATGTTACCTAAATTAAAATAACTGATATACAAGTTAATGTATGCCCTTCATATCTGCTCAGTGTGTTTTCTAGAAGAATATCCAGGTCACAATTGTATGCAAGATTAGAAGTATTATTAAAGTTTTTGAGCATTTTATAAAAATAACTCAGCAAAATGTCTTACCAATGGTTTTAATAGATAATCAACAATAAACCAGAAAAAAAATAAAAACATCAACATTGCATAGTGGGCTAGTAGAATGCCTAAAACTATTATTACTATGATCAATGTTTAACCAGCATTGAGGATTTATCTTCCTCATCATCAGAGTTCTCACCAGGGGATTCTTTTTCTAGAATGGATGAGATATTATCAGTGGAGAACTTGACATTTTTTATTGTGCCCTGCAGGGAGGATCTCCTGCCCATCCTTTTTGGAAATTCAGATGTTTGTTTGGGTTCTGCTTCATGCTCCTCACCAGTTACAAAGTTCAAGTTGAATTTAACATGAGGAGGATGGCTTTCATCAGTCTCATCTTTACTGCCATCTTTATCATCTTTATTGTACAGCTCTGTTAGTTCGTGTGAACTCAATGCTCTCACTTGCCGTATGCCTGCCTCATCATTGAGAAACTCACCCTGTGAAGCACAGGATGAGCGACGTCGAAGGCTGGACATAGCAAGGTGGCGCTGTTCAAATTCATGGCTTATGTTAGGACTTCTACCTTCATCAACAGCCTCCCCAATCATCTGGACAATGTGATTGAAAGCCTTTGGGCGGTCAGCATAAACATGGTGTCCTGCGCCACTGATGACCTGTAAGAGGAATATTAAACCTTAGCAGTCTCAGCTTCTTTATCTATTTCTTAACTATCAATGGGCGGATGAACAGAGTTTCTCATAACTGATTAATTATAATCTTGAGTTTGGATTATCATTTTAACCTGAAGGATGCCGCACCAAGTCATGAAAAGTAATAACAGTTGGATATTAAGCTCTACTTCATCTACCTTATTCACTGCTAGTCTACCTGATTTGAAATGCAATAAAGTCACCAGATAGATGAACTCGCTTTATCTATTCTAATCATTAATGACAATCAGGTCTCTTAAGTATGAACTATCAAGTCTTTTAGCCGCATTTAGGGGAAATTTGCCTGGAATCCCTGTTTGTTTATAAAACATACGATTTTTTTTGGCATGAATAAGTTTCAGCCATTATAAAGTAGTGGAGATAAAATTTAAAAAATGAACTTGCAAAATTAAAATTTTAAAGAATTTTTTGCTACCTGAACATCGACATAATTGTCATGTCTGTGATTTTTTGTTTCATATCCCGGCTGTGAGTCAACCCAGGACCTAGCTCCATAAATAAATGTCACATCCAGCTTAGGGTCCCATGCATGGACTCTTTCCACAAGTGGTTTCCTAGCCCATCCAAAGGGTATAGACACACGACTGAAGCCCACTTCTCCACTAAAATGAAATGTATAGAATGATAAATAGATTAAACTATTAAAAGGATAACAAGAACAAAAAATTATGGATTTTTCATGCAATTACAATATATCAAATTAGAATAATTTGCTTATTATTGATTTATGTTTAGTAGAGCAGTTAAGAAACAAGTAGTTTTAAACAGTTACATAATATGGGAACTTAATACATCTAAAATGTTAGTGTAAGAATTTAAAAATAATATGTGCCGTAACACCACTGTAATAAATAGTTAAACCATGCTAAAAGGAACACTATTTCTAAGACTAAAGGTAGACAGAAAATGAATGCATTATTTATGCACATTACTTTTAGTAACTAAAAATTCAATGTAAATAATTGCATGCAAATAAACATTTATATATATATATATAGGAAAGCTAAACTTCTGTTTTATACATCATGCAAGTAACATCCATGGTCTTGAGTAACAGTGTACGATTTTAGAATGTATTATTTGAAGACTTTTTATTAAACGAGACTTACTGTTTAAACTTATTGTATAAAAAACTAAAGCCAATAGGTGATTTTAACAAATAACTTCAAGTACATTCTGTGTTTTATTTTTAATTTGTTAGATTCTAAAAACATTTAAAGCAACAAAGAAATGTTTTGAAAAGAATAACTTACAAAGTTAAACAACATAAAAAAAAAATTGGCAGAGCTTGAGTGTCAGTGCAATTAAGGAGTAAATGAGTTATTTTTAAATAAAAAGGAAAGATGTATGTTATAAAGTGACCTTGAAAATAAGCATGCAACCACCAAGTAACAGCCTGTTAGTGATTAAAATGTGATATGCAATATTTATTAAGCTTTACAGCATGAAGCTCAAAAAAAAAAAAAAACAACAGTACAATATACGAAAACATAAGACATTTTAGCATTTCATCAAAAATAGATCATTCCAGTAAAAACATAATTTATTTTACAGTTCTCATCATTGCTATGACACAACTGGGATATAGTAGCATGAAATAGTGAATATTGGTTATCAAAGCCAATTTGTTTTGCACAATTCAATCCAACTACAAAAAAAAAGACTGTTTATAAAAATGAAGTTGACGGCTGGTGAGCTAAATATACCTTGGCGGACCACATGTATTACAGGTGTACAGGTAATCAGAAAGTGTGTGGTCCTCGAAGTAATTCTTGAACTTGCAGGCCAAGTCAGGTCTTAACGACCGAAATACAAGAGGACCTGTAAATGTAAGTGTCATTAAGGTTAGGCAAAACAAGTGACATAACCAAATCCATTTGGTGATGATTCTATCCAGATTAGAGGCATCAGCATCCATTCCTGAAATACCTGCAAAAGTAAGAGATGATTATACACATATTAATGAAACATAAACCAACAGCTACCTCATACTTCGCAACATCCACAAAAAACAGTAGTCTTGCATGGTTGAGTCTGGAAACAAGCGAAAATCTTCTTGTCGCAATATTCTCTGTCGAACAATCAAATCAGCAGAATCATCAGAGTTTCCACTCATTTTGACAACAAACATGGCCTTTATGCCTAGCTTAAATGCCCTAAACAGTGGCAAGGCTGTGGGAAAAATGCACAAATAATGTATAGGCATTGAATTATAACAGCCAACTTAAACCCCAAAAATATTAAACTAGGTCAAGAATTTAAAAAGCACTTTGTTATTAAAAATGAGTGTACCCAATCAAAAGCAGAAAAAGAGGATAACAAAAAAAAAACTGAGTACTCTGTTCATCAGGTTTAAAAAGTAAGGTTAACTATAAAAATAGCTATAAAAACAATTTTAATAACCAGCCTTATAAGAGCTTGTTTTTAGAATTGCTTTATAGCAGAAAATACTAAAAAAAATATTTAGGCACCAAATAAATGTTACTAGATATTTCATTTTAATGCCAACCAACTGACAAGTTCAATCATTAAAATTACATAGTGAATACCATGTAACTGAGTATATAAGAGGAACTGAGTCATCCATTTATGAAGTTCAAATGGAGCGGGAGCATAAAAAAAAGAGTTTTGTGGTAGACATAGGTTGGGGGGGGGGGGGGGGGCTTTGGGTCCATGCAGATGTCCACGTATTGAATTTAACATTGAAGTACTTACATTTTTAAAACAAATAAAACTCTTATCCTGCATAAAAAAGTAAAATAAAGACAGCAGTGCTAGTGTTTTAAAAGTAAACCCAGCTCAATGTGTAAATTAATCACGAGGGTCATACATAACATAATCAACGGCACAAATTTTTACCTTTCCCTCCCTCAATGTTACATGTCATCACCGAAAAGCCAGAGCCCAACACCTATTATTATGTCACACCTCAGTCTACCATCCCTCGCAAAATTACAATTAAAAAAACAACAGCATTTATTTTTCTAAAATATTTAATGAGTTCGGTCAACATTGAGTATATTGATCAGTTTTTATTCAAATTTACATATGAAATTTTTTTTTACAAACATGAAATAACAGATAATATTAAGTTTCTAACTTTTTTACAATACTAAAATTCAGTTTCTGTGTCGAATTGGGTTTTGAAAACCTCCTCCCCCCGAGTCTCACATTGTCACAAAAGCATGAGGTTCACAAAAGTACGAACCCCCCTCCAGAGTCTGATGTCATTCATGGTTTTTAAGCCTATCTCTTCTAGAAATCAAAAAAGTAAACAGAATTAGAGTTAATGCCCCAAGGCAGTTTTACGACTTATTAGCCTCATTCTTATAGAAATACATCCTACACTACACAGAAAATAATACTTCTAAAAAATGTTTCCCACATAGGCCCAATGAAAAATAAGTTTTAGCAGGAGTTTTTGGTTGGCAATGGGAAAATCATTAAAATAAATATTTATTTATAAATTATACTCTGACATTTAAAACATACTATTTATTTTTCTCACTTCACTCTAGATTCTACTTTTAATTTTAGGCTTAATAATCTGCCTATCAGTTTATAGGTACACTAAACTTTTGTGGATGCCCACATCGAAGAGGTTTGTTGAAAGTAGACGGGAGTCTGAAATTCAATTTTTTTGTTGTCATCATAAATGGATGACTGCAATGAGAGTAGATCAACCACCCTAACACTATAATCTCTACCTATTCTTTCAAATATATATATATAAATATGTTTCTGTTAAACTTATTTGAATTAAGCCTGGCACGTAACTTGCATTAAAATGGTGGACCACTATTGTCGTTTCATTGTCCAGTTCTGTATTAGCTGAATAATTTTTCACAGCTTTTATACGTGTAGTAATCAGTTTAAATTTCACTTTAAAGCTTCTACCAACCATTCACTTATAACATTCGCTCAATTTGGGTATTGTTTTTCTTATATAACATCCATCGTGAAGCCCAAGAATTGTTCATTGTCAATGCTGAACAACAAATTTCAAACAGGTAGTTATTTTGCAAAATTACTAATGTTTATACTATCAATAGTGTTCTTTAACTGAATTTTTTTATTACTGAGATATCATTAGATATACACATATTCAAAATTTAAGGCTAATTTTGACAGAGGTTAGTAAAAAATTTATCGCAAAATTTCACAAGTTTAATATAGCAATACAATTACTCTGACACACTGAGGATGAGAAAATAACCAGGAGATCTTTGGTTAACAAATTAATAAATGATTTAACAACTGAAATTCATTAATGTTGACTGAAAAAACATTGCTGCTAATGCTGTGTAAGTTCCATTAAAATTTAGCAATAATAATTACACCTACTTATGAAATGAGGTTAAAGCATCTGATAATTTGATCAAATAAATAAAATGGTGTTACTAAGTTGTTCAACTTTAAAAGTAACATAAGTATGAATATGTGTTTGTTACAATATATATGTGAAAAAAGTACTTGCCGGATTTTGTGTAATTATTTTGTACTTAACTACAATACGTTTTTAAACTTTACATTGACAAATCTATGATTTATGTTTTATTGATTTGTGCTATATGTTCTACTTGTTAATATATATGCAATATATTTTTGCATTACATTGTTTCAATACTCTATACATTTGTAATTACATTAGACAACCCCATAACAGATAAAAATAATAAAAATAATTTTAAAAAGTTTTTTATAATAATTTTTTTAAAAAATCAGCTATTTCAAATGTTAACGTCTAGCTATTTATATATAATGAACCTTGACATTCATAGATCTATATGTAATATTGTTTATTGTTTTTAAAAAAAGAGGCTGGTAAAAAACAAATTACTAACCAAGGGGTCCAAGAATTCTCAGCGGGGTGAATATATTCATCTTCCCATACAACTTAGAGAGAAGAACAATGGACCTGCTCCTCATAAATGGTCTCATCTCAGCTGCAGCTGGTCTCTGGGGAAAGCCCCATGGATCTGCCAGAATTAGGTGCTTGACACGACTCGGATACTTTAGGCAATAAACTGAAGATAGATATCCTCCATAGCTGTGACCTAAAATACATTTTAAAATAAATAAAAAATATCTAGTTAGGAAATATAAAAGCTTTAAACAAAATTATCTGCTTTGATAATTTTTAAAATACACACCCAGTAATATGAAGTTATTGAAGCTCATTTTTTGAAACCAGCTTTCAAGAACTTCAGTGTAAAACTCTTCAATATCATCTACTGTTGTGTCAACCCACCAGCCATTCTCGTACTTAATTCTCAACTCTGGACGACTGCTTAATCCAAAGCCTGGAAGATCCAATAAGATGACATCACGCTAGAACATAAAAATATGTAATAGTTAAAGATAAGGTTTATAAGAGAAATATAAAAAACTAACAGTATCATTATTGTAACCAAAACAGTGTTACATATTTTTCTGTAAAATATAACAAAAACTTTAACAGTATTTAGCTGGTAACTAAGATGATTGTTAAATTTAAACTTGGTGTCTACAGAGATATATTATTGCATGATTAATGTTACTTTAGTCTTATCTTTTATCTAAATTTGAATCCCAGAATATTTTTTACACAAGTATTACTTTATTTTTAATCTCACAATATTTAACCAAAAATGAGTCTTTTACATACCTCTTCTGCCAAGTCATCTATATTGTTCAGGAACATATTGGTGCCACCACCCATTCCATGAATAATAACCAGAGGTATAGAATCTCGTATATCTCCCTCTACAAAAACAGTCCATATTTCATAAACCTTTTTACCAACTGCCACTGAAACCCACTCTGCGTGATTTTTATGAGTTAATTCTGAAAAAAAATATGTTGACATAGAAAAAAAAAATTTTCAACAAAATTTGCAGTTTATTTTAAATTGTTTTAAAAGACTTACTATTTCTTATTTTCCTATCTAAACGCATTAACCAACTTTTTGAGGAAGGTGTCCATCTTAATTTCAGCCATGAATGAAATCTAGAGAAAAAAAAATGAATTAAAATTAGACAAAACAATTTTAAGATAAGAAGTTGGAGCTTTGGAAATAGCCCAAGGTAGCCTCAATTTTAAGTTAGGAGCTGTAACTTTACAAGGGATGTTATTACTAATAATTCTTGCAGCCACTAAAATTGTATTTCTTAAATTGATACTAAAAAATGTAGGCCCAGGTACAAATAGCACATTGCTAGTGTATAGCAACAGACAGTAACCTAGGCCTAATTCTTGCCGAGTCTGACGAAATTAAATTTTAGGAAAAACATATTTGGCTAAATTTTACTCCAACCAAAACTAAATCTAGATCTAGTGCTAAAAAATGAAAGGTATATTAAAATATTTTGCAAACAACAATTAGGAGAGTTGTTTGCACATTACATTAGAACCCTGTTGTTAGTTGATCAAAACTAAAGGCTGGCAATAGGCCTAAGTTCTTTATAATAAATTTTTTTTTTAAATCAGCTATTTCAAATGTTAATGTCTAGCTATTTATATATAATGAACCTTGACATTCATAGATCTATATGTTATATTGTTTATTTTAAAAAAAAAAGAGGCTGGTAAAAAACTAAACTAAACACAAACACAACACAAACGAAAACACAATGCAAATGCAAACACAAAAAACACAAACAAAAACACCAACACATAACATAAACACAACTATGGTGCTCAGTCTAGGCCGGCGTGCCAAATCGCACCCTGCCGGGACGCCAGTGGAACTGCCAGATTCAACTTTGTAAACGACTATAATACCCCAACTTATCCATAAAATCAACAAAAGGCAGTATTTAAAATATCTGTGTTTTACCTACCATATTGCACTTTATCAGTCTATAATTATATTATTCCAATAAACACAAACGCAACACCACAAACACAACTTAAATATTAATCCATGCTAATTATAATATTCCAACAATAATGCCCTCTTGCGCGTCCGCGGAGTTGGCATTCACATGTTTATTATTAGTATGAATTGAATTTCTTTTTAAATTTCCTCCCCTGGCAGAATTATTAAATATTTTGATTAATTAGCTTTTTCAACCCTACTGTTATTAAAATGTATCCAATATTTCTAGGAATATAAGCGACAATATTATTTGACATTGATCTGTTTAATAAGTTTTAGCAATGTGCATGTATTTAATATTTTCTTCACGTTATGCGAAAGAGTAGAAACTGTGGCAACAATAAAATAAATTTTAGTTGTTATATAAACAAAGCCTACTCTAATACTTGTTATAAGACAATGCGTTGCAAATTAAAATTGCTGCATGGTTGTTTATTTTTATTATGGTTCCAAAATCTATAGCGATGACAGAAGGAAGGACTGACACACTATTTAGCCAACCTAATTATATTCTTTACTTATCAAGTAAACATTAGTAAACAATATTTGAATATAGGCCATAGGTACCCACATTAAAAAAGCTACATCTTGAGCCGCTGAATGTAGTCTTTTGAACAGTTCCATGGTCACTATGGCCATTGCTTTGGATTTCAGGAATACATTACAGATCTAGTTATCTCTGGTGACTAGTGAATCTAAATCTTGAAACTATACTCTACTACTCACTCTACTCTAAGGAGCCTAACAGACTCTAACTCTAGTTTAGTAATTTTACTAATTAGTAATTAGTAGTTTTTCTTACTATTTGTGAAATCTACTTAATTCTCAATTTAAACATGACAACTGAATAAAAAACGTCCATACTTTATCCTCTAGGCACTAAATTTGGGGGTTGTAGCGAGTTTAGACTAAATTATTGAATTTTAAATTTATTTGTCACTCACAGCTATGATATGACGGATCATCCATGACAACCTGGTTAAAAGTTGAAAGGTTTAACTTTTTAAGTGACCGTGAAATAGATCTAATTTTTTTTCACAAGAGAGTTTCTAAAAGTAGAATTGGCCCGTCTATCGTCGGGTAATATTTTTAGAGGAAAAAAATTTAAGAGAATGTCATCAGAAAAGAATTTAAAAAAAGACAAGACAGAAGTGATTTTTGAATTCTTTTATTTCTTTAATTTTATGACATTTTTTATTGTACAAAAGAGCAAAATAAAAAACCATGCCAGGTAAACGTATCCATTCAAATAGCGGTCACGTGGTCAAAAAAAATAAAAAAAATGTGGTTGTCATTTCTCGGTCGATCTTATAAAAAAAACGGTTGAAGATATTTGATTTATTTTTTCATAGAATGATAAAACTAATAATGCTTTACTATGGAAATCAATTTTGTGAGAGGGAAATCTATATTTAAAAAGTTAAATTATTTTGAATGACACCGACTTTAAATTTAGCCTACATTCCCCAAAGCAATTTCTGAAAATGCTTTTCTGGCATATTTAGCCTTGCCACCTATAGCATGTTTTTATAACGTGAAAACCCGCCATTTTACTCGTGATAAACATTTTTAAAAGTAATTCTAAGAAGGTCTCTGGAACTAAGTCGAAAAACTCGCCGGAAGTCATGGTCCGATCCTTACGCCATGTTCTGGTTAGCAACCAAGGACGCTTTTAAGTTAGTGAGCCTCCCTAGTAATTAGCAATGCTGGAACTGGAAACAAACTAATTGCGTAATTGGCTGATGATCAATAAAAATAAAAAAAATAATAATTAGGCCTAGGCTATTTAATTTAATTTTAATAAATAAATAGAATTTAGAGTAATTTAGGCATAGGGCCTATACTATAGGGGCCTAGTCCCATTAATTTAATAGTAATAGGCCTACTAGTAATACATTAGTTAGCATTATTAGGCCTATTATTAGTATTATTTAGGCCTACTAATTTTAAGTAATTTAGGCCTACTAAATTATTTAGGCCTAGATCTAGATAGGCCTACAATTACTTTTTCCCTACTGACTACTGAGTACACAGAGTGATTCAGCACATTAGCTTGACTAACATTATGATTAGGCCTACATAATTCACATTTTTTAAATAGATTCTAGATCTAGATCTACTGGTCTAAAAAAAAAAGACTCAGCTGACGAACCAAAACAACTGACAAGGCATGTAATAAAAACACAATGAATGTTTGTTTATAAATCAGGTTCATGTAAAAAAAAAATACTCACAAAGATTTTAAAATAGAAGTAAATACTCGAATCGGTAGAATTATGAAAAGCTGCATAAAAGACATTTTAAAATAACTTTGGCTATATTAATAATCTAGATCTAGAAAGATCTAGATCTATGTCACAATCTAGAAATCTGGACTAGAGATGTATTCCAGTAGGCCCCTATCATCTTTTGCATATAGATCTAGATCTAGGCCTAAAGCTGGGCCTAGGCCCCTATTAATTTAATGGGTCAAACTAACTAAGGTTTCGTTTAGTATAAATTTTATACTGCTGTCATCGTGGTTTGATTTTTTAATTTTTTTTTTTTTTTTGCGTCTTTTGCATAGGCCTAAAAGGGTCCAAAAATCCCATGTTATCTTTAAACATTTTGTAATACTCACATTTTTTTTAAAATAAGCACCTATCTTTATATTGTCATACATTTTTGGGCTTGCCAATAATACTATGTGTCTGTATTTAGTACAATTGGATATGATTTAGTTAGACGATGACTGATGATGGGTACCCTAGGCCCTAGACATAGATTAAAATTAATTGAATAGTTCAAATACTGGTAAATTCGACTTTAATTTTTTTTAAAAGAGGGGGAAAAATTGACAGCAGCCTTTAATTCACTAAGTGGAACATAATTCTATTTTTTAAAATTATCTTTAAATATACTAGATATAAGTATTAATATTAGGCATTAGGCTAACAATGAAACAAAAATAAGCTCTTCTAAAGGAACGAAACAAAACTGTTCATGTAGTATAAATTAATTATAAATAGTGTTCTTAAGTTGTTTTCATAAATGATTTATTTTAAATAAAGTTTAAAAAATTAAGAATGACTTTATGTTATTTTTAAGTATAAATCTTCTGGATCTAATAATTATATCTTTTTTTTTTAATCTGCGCATTTTTGTGTCGCTTCCAATATGCCAGTCAGGTTTGACACATCATTAAGTCAATTTATATGCCAAATTAGATTTATCTGTTCGAATTAACTAGATCTCTTTAATACCCTTGCACGTTTAAGAAAATACTCAAACAGTTATAACAAAATATAATTCTAATTTTTAAAAATAAGCAGTGTTTTAATAACGTTGAACAACAGTATAATTTCAACACATTATTCTCAATTAACAAGAAAATATGAAGAATTCACACACATACTATGTTTTTTATATTTTAAAAGTTAATGTTATTTATTTATATGCAATAGTACTGACTTTTCGTTTTATTTATGCAAGTAAAATTTTTAATTTATGTTTCTGAATCATTAGTTTGTAAGTTTTATTTTTAAGAAAGCTAAATATCGTCTACAATATTTGAAATAAATGTTCTCCTAAAGGTCTTTACATTTTTTATAGTAACATACTTTATGATTTTAAAAAATGGCGAGACAATTATCTAAGTTGATTTAAAACATCTAGAAAATCAATCGAAATTACAATTCTACGTTTGGCCCCTTACTTAAGATTATCCTGGCCACAATTACGAACCAAATCAAGGTTAGCGTGGCTACAATTTTTAACCAATCGTATTTTAAATTTTTTACTCTTTTAAGGCTGAAGAAGGTAGGCCATTTTCTTTCATCTTGGTCTCCATTTTGGCGGTATTATATTATTTTTGTTGCTGTACCATCATTTTTAGTTTTAGAGCCGTTTACTAAGAATAACAATATAGTATATTTTTATGCGATATTTATGTCGTTTCAAAAATGTATTAAATTGTTGGCTGAATTTTTTGGTGTCATATTCTATTTGTACTGAAGTAACAACTTGGCTCTATGGCCAAATAGTGTGCTTGATCTTTGCCAGCTTGCATTCGAATTATATTTTTAATATTTTTTCAGCGATTTTTTTTCTTGAATTTAAATAAGCCTATCTAATAGACCAATATAAATATTTAGTAATTTATAAGGCCTTCCTATATCTTTATATTCTTTTGGGATATTAAACATATAGTACATACTTACCTATTATTTTAGTAATTACTTAAGTATACCATTACCTTAGGTTATTAGTAGTAAGATAGTAGATCTAGTAGTCCAGTAGTATTATAGTATAATCTGTATTGGTCCTTATCCATACATTAAGGGGGGGGGGGGGGCTATTATGCAACCTATAACTGTATGCCTAATATGAAAATATCAATTATTTATGATATTAGCCATAGTCCTATTTATTTTATTATAGTTTATAGGGCCTACATAGTAGATCTATAAATCTATATATTGTTATAGTAGGGCCTATGGTATAGTATAGGCCTATAGAATCTACTTTATACTCAAGTATATTTATTTAGTATATAAAGTATATAAGTCCTACTGAGGCTAAGTATTGTGAAACACCCTTGCTTTCATCTAGCTAGTTAATATTTTAAAATAGAAATAGCCTTGTTCTAGATATATTTAAGTAATCTACTAACCCTAAAAGTCATATAGGTCTAGGCCTAAATAATTGTAATAAAATACCCCCCCCACACACACACAAACACACACAGCCAGAGGTAACATTTTGCTATGTGAATAAAATATACAGGCTATTAGTTATTAGGCCTATGGATTATGTTTCATTCCAAAAAGATTCCTTTGTTATTCATAAATAAATTGATTCTAATTTTGCATAAATATATCTTTTCTCAATCAGTAGACCATCTTCCCCTAACCAGTGGCTTTCGGATTATTGCTTAGTAAACTTCTTGGCAGTAAAACATTTTTCTCTTCAACCATTTAAAAAAGTCATGCCTTGTTCCCAATTTTCAAGACGAACTTTTTGTGTTTCAGTCGGGCCTACTATGTCTTTGTGTAATATCAAATATTTTTGCTTATTATAGTTATATAAAACTGCAGTGAGCCATCAAAATGGCAGAACAAGATGACTCAATGGAGGATAAACAAGAGAATTTTGAAGAGAATGAAAATGAACAAGAGAATGAACAGGATTTGGAAAATGGAAATGAAGAAGGTCAAAGTGATGATGCTGTGGACACAACAGCTGACTTTTTAAAGATTTTTCAAGGAAAAACAGAATTTGACAGTTGGGAAGAATTTTCAAATTTATTTGAGGACTTCCAGAAAGAGACTGGTTCAGGTGTGATATTTTCCTTTTAATTTAACTGTAGGTGGCTAGATTTATTTTTTATACACATTTGTGACTTTTCTGTGACACTTACTACTTATTTTGTGTTCACAGCTTTTAAACCTAAGTCAGCCACAAGTATTGAGTATGCTAATGAAAGGCGCGTTAAAGACAAAATAGCAGATCGATTTGTCTACCAGACAGTAAAGATGGTTTGCCAACACTATGGAGTTCCTGTCAAGCGAGAGAGTAGTGCAAGAAAAGTAAAAAAGTAGGTTTAGTATTCTAACAAGTTAAAAGTTAGAATATTCAGATTGTTCTCTACTGTTTTAAAAACACTTAAATTATACACAAATTTACTACAATACTTGAAATAATTTGTTATTTTATTTCATTTTTTAATACTTTATTATATTTCTGTCAGATATGTTGGCTTAGGTTGTGAAGCAATGGTACACTTGAGATATAAAGGTGGCAGTTTGAACATTGTGAGTTGTAACTTGGAACACAAAAATCACAAACTGTTTTCGGGCAGTGAAATTCTCAGGTATAGTTGGGATTATGGTGTATGTTAATTTTTAAAATACATTTAAGACTGTCATAATTTTATTTTCAGTTAGTTTAAAAATAATCTTTATCTTCTCTTATATAAGTCAGTATAAAGAGTTATTCTTTTTTTTATAGAATTTGATCTTGTTCTTTATTAAGTCATTATTTTTTTCAAAAAGTCTCTATATGTAACAAATCTAATTTTGCTAATTTCTATTATTATAGACTTGCATTGATCTTTTTCTAACCAGCAGGAGTGTGAGATCATTTTCTTTTACTGATGATATTGATTTTCTTATGGCTAAAGTTGTTATGGAGCATAACCCATTTTCCACTTGGAATTCGGAAAAAGAATGGCTTGCTTTAGTAGATGACCTGCAAAGTAGAGATCCACGTATGAAAACTGTTACAATACGAGTGGTGAAAAAGAGAATAAGATTTTTAATTGACAGATACATGGCCAATAGCAATGGGAAGTAAGTATTATCTTATAATCTGAGGGACTGTCATTTTGCATATAATTTTTACGTAGTTTGAAAAAAATAGATTAAGAGATGTTACTTGAAACATCAATAAAGCACAAAAAGCAAGTAAATGTTTTAATTAATTTAAATATAATTATTTTTTAAGAGCGCCCTTACCGGATGATGAAATGGGTATTATATTGTATGAATTAGCTAAAGCTAAACAAGATGCAATGGATAATGTTCCCAAACAGCCAGCAAAAAAGAGGGGACCAGGACGGCCAAGAAAAAGAGAAAGGGAAGAAACTGAAGATGAAGATGATGATATTGATGAGTCACATCTGGATTTTGATGATTCTTCAAATTTTTCACCAGGTAGAGGTAATTGCTTGTTAGTCAATAATTGCTGATACAAAATTTTACTCTTATCTTCAACAGAAAATGGTTTTATAACATATCTTTTTGTTTCAGGGGGAACCTCACCAAAAAAGGCTAGAACAACCTTTAAGCGAACAACTGCATCATCAAGCACAGAAACATCTTCAGCTTTCCTACGCTATCTGGAGCGAAAAGATGAGTATGATAGGAAACTTCGGCAAAGTGATTTAGACTTACGGCGTGAAGAGCTTGAGCTTCACAAAAAAGAACTGGAAATCCAAAGAGAAAGGTTTGAATTTGATAGGATTGAACGCCAAGCACATCTTGAACTGCTCAAAGCACAGCTAGATGCATTTACAGGCCACAAGGCTAAAATAGTTATTCCAGATGGTAAAGTTGATGGCAGTGCAGTAACAGAGTATACGATTGTTGTTAACAATGACCAAGCATTTGCCACACAATGACTATAATCTTGATATTGAGATGGTTTATTCCTGTTGCTGCACGGCAGTCTAGTCCTTTTTAGTTGATGATGTTCTTTACTTAATAAAGAATTCAGCAATGCTGATTTGGTCAAGAGAGTCAACTTGATCTTATTTTGTAGGAAATTAATTTTGATATGGTTATAAACGGTTTTCAAAATATACTTGGCCATTTATGAAGTTAATGTAAGACAAATAAATATTCCATTTATTCTTAGTTTTTTAAAAATCCAGCGTTTTGTAGGCGTAATTATAAGGTGAACAGTAAGTGCCTAAAATCTGGAGTATTGAACATATTTCAAAATAGAATTTAAAAACAAGTTTGGCCATAGTCTTTTAGTGATTTTGTTCAATGTGAAAACTTTTTTACTGTACAAAACTATTTTTAGTCATGGTTTCAGTGTATGTATAGAAGAGGTGAACTTGTACAATAATTTCACAATCTCACTTTGGAAGTTATACATGTTAAAGCAGCTGCCGTTTGTTGTGTTTAATCGCAGGAAGTTTTGAAACTATGAGTTCCACAATGTTCTACTAAAATGGCTTTTATTTTAAAAAGCCTGATAAGTAGGTTGATCAATCTGTAACCTGTTGCACAATGTGTTTCATTCATCATTTTTCTTGTCTGTGGTTCTTATATTTCTCTTAGAAGCAGTTCAACAGTTTTGTTTTTGTTTGTCAAGGTGAAGTTAATACTTATACACTGTTATCTAGATCTCTGACAGATGCTGTTTTTTAGATTATAATCACACCAGATTTGGTAGAAAGTGCAATTCATTTTTTCCTTGCCAAAAGGTTTTATTTTTGTGAAAGTCAGGGAACGAATACACACAATACACATAAATCACCTTGTATATATTAAGAACTTTTTGTGTAGTATTTTCTGTTAGAGCCATGTTCATATTCTGAAGCATATTTTGTTATATCTAGAAACAAACATCTTTAAAAATGGAGTTTTTCTACATTGTCATGATATACCCTATTTGCTGTAAATATGTCTAAAAGAATTTCTGGTTTTTACCTTGACCAGCTCCAACAAGTCTGGTCAGTTGGTCACCAGCTCTACACTTCATTAACCCCAAGGCCTCATAAGATTGTTACATTAGTTTCGGCTGATCATCTTTAACTAATTTGATGATATGTTTTGACCTGTTTCATTGTTTGTTTTTTGTAAATAAAAATATAACATTTTAAATTTTGGATTTCATTCTTCATTCTTAAATTTAATGTTGGAACCCATCTCTAACACAATTAAGTATACATGTCAACTGGTTATGCGCCATTTAGGCAGTTGACTCATATTTCAGTCTGCTTTTCTTTTTGGCAGCAGTTGTTTGATTTTGGAGTTGTCTCTCTTAGCTGAGTTGCTGTCCCCTGGTACCAAGCCTCATCTGCCTGAGGGTTTAGCAATCATGAGCTTTACCAACTCAACCACTTTGGATTCTTTAACAATATCTTTGATGAAACTGTATATAGTAAAGATATTTTTCTGTTCAAAGTCTTTAACAAATGACTGAACTCAAAGTTCCAACTTCCTCATTTTAAAATTTATTTATTAGTAGATACCATCATATGTACAAAAGAAAATGTGTATACAGAAACTAGTTATTATATGATAAGGCCAACAACCCTCACAAATTGTGAGAATAAAGCAGCGGATAATTTTATCTACATATATATTGCAGGTATAAGAACAAATTCACTAAATATTGTAATAGGAGCATCAACTAGCTTTATTTTGTTTTTGCCATAAATTTTGCTAACTAAATGATTGAATAATTTGTCTAAATTTTAATTATTTATCTATGCTGCTTTAAGATAATATTGGAAGCACACATTAGCTGTTACTGTTAGATTAAAATGTTACAGAAAAATTGATTAGCAGTGCTAATTTTGTGAGTTGTATTAATCTTGAGATATCCAAAATTTAAGGCGCTTGTTCATCAAATATATAGTTAGGTAAAATTTTAACATTTTATATGTGTATAACAATTACCTTACAATAAGAAGAATACTAATATGCAAAATGGTGCACTAAATCGTATGGACGGATAAAATATAAGTGTAAACAAAAATGGAATACTGAGTTCAGAATTTGTAATAAGCAAATTTTTTTCAATAACCTTTACAATACATAAAAAATGTTTTTTTAAAAAATAACACATGTATGTGTAATGGACGGATCAATACAAAAACTAATGAAGTTAAAAGACAAATGACATTATAGTATATCTTGGCAGTCAAAAATTGCTGCATTTAAAAAATTTAAAGTTATACAACAGTAAAACTACATTTATCACAGATGCAAACTCTTCCACAGTACAAATAATGTTAATTTAATTTGCTGTCATCCTTACTACTCTACTTATGTCCAGTTAATTTATTTTAATATAAATTTTTAAAAATTTACATATTTCTTAAACTTAATTATTAAGACTAGACTTCATGTATACAGTAGTTAAGTTGCTAGAATAAATGGTCTTCCACTTTGTGTTAAAAAATTATATGAGTTAAAACAATATTTTTTTCTAGATAAATAGTTAAATTACACATTATTTATAAAAAGAAAAATACATCAGATAACATCTAAGTTTCATTATCATAAAAATACATGAGCCTAATGCACTTTGGTAATGATGTTTGCTGAGCGAGCCTTTTCCAGTTGCATGGATAAGTCTCGCACTTTATCTGACCAATATTCACTACTCTGTTGTAGCTGGATTGATAACTGGAAAAAATATAAGAAGTTTTGAACGCCACAATAAAAAAATTAACAAAAGTTAAAGAATTACCATTTAATAAAGCTATCATTTTATAACATGAGATACAAACAGGTAAAGTAGTAAGCCTACTTTTATTTACCTCTGCTTTTTTTTTTTTTAATTTTTAAAACGTTTTTTCCCAAGTATTTATTCCAATATTTCATTCTTAGTATGTATCTCAGTGTAAAAAAAAATGAGTATACTTGGAGTTTTTTTTTTAAATGTCAATGTTTTGAAAATGTTATGTTCATAAAACATATGACATGCAGTATGATTTTAAGCAATCAAAATTTATGTTAATAAATAACATTAAATAGTAACTAAATGAACAAACACAACAAACTCAGTTTTCAACTTAATTCTTTGAACAAAAGAAGCAATTTTGAGCACAATCTTTACAGTTTTTGAAATGTGTACGGCTGGAACAGTTTCAGTCCTTAGCAGTAATAGCAGTAATTCACTTGCCTCAGTGGATTGATAACAATGTTTGATAAATAAATAATGTAAACAATTTCTCTAAAAGTTCCTATATATCAAATGTTGTGTTTGTTTTCCTAAGTTTTAAATGATACTTATTTGTATTAAGAGACCTAGAGGAAATATATAATTGTATAATTTGACTCACAAGAAAATGAAAAAAGAAGTAATTTCACATTGATATATGTATTTCCTAAAGTAGGTTATAGAATACCAAAGGTTGAAAAAAAGGTGATTAAAGAAAAGTGAGCCTGAAGTAAATTGGCCATAAAGAGAATCAACAACATAGCATTAGAGGTTAAGAAGAACCACATAAAATAGAAGTAAATAAAATGCTGAAAAAGTTGGTGGTTAATTTAGTTTAGAGCCTTTATAATACTATTAAAAAAACTTAAGAAGTGTTACTAGATTCTACATGTTAATAAATGAAACAAAACTTTGTTAGTGTCTAGTTATTAAGAGTGACAGAGTATAATATACACAAATGTAAAAATTTTTTGTTATACAGGTAGCAAGGAAGCAGATCGTACCTGGCATGTTTCAAATCTAACCTAGCAATAACAGCTTAGGAATGGATTTTCTGTTGTCAAAATGAAATATTCAGTTAAAAGAAAGATAATATTGCTCAGTAGCATGTTACCATAAAATTTCTCAGTAACGCTCTATGTATATTGGTATGCATAAAAATATGTATCATATTTCAAATAGGATTTAATGCCTTTATTATCTTTTAAGATAAATTATATATTTTTGCCAATAACCAACAAAGACATTGCTTTGCTTCGACATGGTCAACACTCAAATAAGAAGGTTGGGACGCAACATTTAAAGAAAATTAAGGAAAACAATGTATGACTAATCCTACATTAGAACTTAAAATGTGTGTTAATTCACTGATTTTTAAATAAGCAATCAAATAATTTGTTACCTTCAACTAGAAGAGAATGAGAAACAGCTAGACTATAAATCTTAAGGGCATAGGCGGGTGATGAAAATCAAAATAACCAAAATGCTTATTTCTAAACCTAATGCTATAATATTTAGGATATTGTTTTGACTCAAAGAGTTAAGCCCAAAACAAAGTCCAAATTAAAAAAATGGCTGGAAATTAACATTGAAATAACTCAAAGATGGCTTATGCGAATTCAAATAAAAACTTGCAGATTATTGACACACATGATGGTAACAATCGTGATAGATTACACTTTAAGAATTTTAAATACTTTTTTTTTACAATTTAAAAAATTTGTTCAATCAATTTTGTTGGTGTATGTATACTAAATTACTAACAGAATAACTAGGGGAAATTTCGATCAATTTTAATAATAATTAAGAAAGTTATTTCAATGTTAAAATTGGAAAAAAATCCAAGATAGCCACCATCACCATAGCAACGGCAGGAAATTTGCAATAGGTTTAGAAATAAGTATTTTTGTTATTTTGGTTTTCATCACCCGCCCATGCCGTTAAAGTAATAATTTAACTAAAAAAAATGTAACCTCACTATTGAGTGATGTTTCCAATTAATTTACAGTTTAACATTATGATGTAGAGTAGACCTACATTTTAATACTAATTTAAAAAAGAAAATTATATTTATGTATATTTTAAAAAAGGAAAAACACAACACACAAATATTTAAAATTCGCAAATTAAAAAACACACTTTGTGCTAAATGTCACAAGAACTGTGGGGTTACACTGCCTTAACTCTGTAACTAGCTATATTTTTCATAAACCGCATTACTGACCTCTCCAACTCTTTGAATCCAGTAAGTTTTGTCCAAACTATTTGGGTCAAGGACACTTGAATCCTCAGCAGCACTGTTTAATGCTATTCTTGCCTGTGAGCAAAAAAGTAAAATTAGAAATTGGATTAGATGTAGAAATTTAGATAATTAAGTTTATATGAGTAGCTTCCCTTCTTTGGTAACAAAAAACAAATGTTTTCAGAAACCTATTTCTCTCTATAACTTATTACAAAAATGAATTTAAAAAAAAAAAAACTTGCACTATTTCTGATTATAAGATATCAAAAATGCATTATAACTACAACACAGTGATTTTAAAAATGTGGTAGATGATATGCATAAATTATAATAATCTCACTGAGACAAAGTTATATAAAAGATTACCACAAATAAAAACACTACCTATAACATAACATTACAATATTTTCTCCTACAGACAGTTGAAAACTATTTCTGGATAAAACTAAAAGTCAAACTAACTAGCTTCTCAGGATCCTTGAAATGGTCAGTTTTTTCAATGAGCCTCTTGTAAATGTTAGTGTCCAGCTGAGACCGCAAGCTGTCCACCAGCTGTTCTTTGCTCTGCATCTGCAGCTCAAGATTTTGTCTTGTAGTTATTTCTCGTTCCAACTCACTTCTTAGACTAACATTTTCCTTCTGTAGACTTGAAAGCTGTTGAGATGTTGAAGGTAATAGTTAACTATGAAACCGAAACAAATAAATTCATTCATGCATATCACATAGATCAGCTGACTTTATTGCCAGGATTTCCTGTGGCCACCAGGAATGTAAAGAAAAAGTTCAAGAACTAAATAACTAAAGGGAAAGAATCACTAAAAATGAACACGAGATTGAGTAATACACAAAAAACAGCCAACAGATACAAGCAAATTATTATTTGCTATTATTTTACTTCTTATTATTATCATTAATAAATTGGTTATAACTTAATTTTTTAAATAGTTTAAGTGGTGAAGTTTACATTCTTGCTAATGAAATCAAACTAAGTACTCTACCTGCTGGTTGAGCTTATGAATATTTTCTATGTTGGATTTGAGACGAATGTGAAGATCTTCTATGGCCGCTTCTTTGGTTTTCATGTCTTCATCTTGTTCCACTCTGAAACATTGCCTCAGCATATATGTAATTTGAAACAAGAGCACGATATTATTTATATGTGAACTAGTGTACTTTAGAAAATGTTTTACTCACTCATTTTCTTCTAGCCGACTCTTCAGCTGGTTGAGAATAATTTGTTGATGCGCTGAGTGTGACTGCAGGGCCTGACAACAGAATTTAAGTATTTAGAGAACATCCATCACTAAAGTATCATCAACAGGCTTAAATCATGTCTCACTAATTCATTAGCAGCTTCACTTAAATTATGTCTAACTAATTAATTAGCAGCTTCACTTAAACTATGTCTCACTAACTCACCCTAAACTTTTCACTTTCAACTGTTTTCTCTTCTAATTCTATTTTAACTTTGTTGTAAGACTTCTGAAGTTTGGTGATCTGATCTAGAAGAGTTCTGTTGAAATGGAAAATTTAAAAATCATAGTTAATAAAATAAACATACCATTTTTTATTCCGATTGTAGTTGTGATGTAGTGATTAAAAGCAGCCTATAAGGATACTCTGATTTCCTACCGCCACTTAGCTTAGATGGGCGGTTCATATAACTCATTACTGTATGAGCAATTGTAACTTTCAAAATGGCTACACAAAATGATGATGCATTTATTAACCAGGGCATGTTTTATTTTAAATATTTAAAATATTCACATACATTATACATTTTTTTTCTAAAATAAAAATGGTAGAAAATTTAATTTACATGACATGACAATAAAACTCATCTCCAGCTTCAGGTGATATCTTTAAAATCTCTTATCAATGAGACTTCAGTTACTACTTGGAAATAATTAAAGCACACCAAACAATACCACTAAAAAATCTCTGGCACATAGGAAAGTTAAGGGTTAATAACATCATCATCATCATTCCTATGTGGCCCTTGAGGAGCAAAGGGCCGCAACTACACATTTCCAGTGGACTAGGTTTTGGGCTGCTCCCTTAATCTGTGCCAATGTGAGGGTTAATAAAGTGACACAAAAAACAAAAACTTACTCTTTCTCAGCTGACAGTACCATAATGGCTTTACTTTGCTCCCTGGGTGAAAACAGTTGTTTTTTTTATATTGTAAATCAGATTGAACATATGGAAAGAAAAGTTTATTAAGTTTAAATTAAGGAAAATTGAGTTCAAAGTAGTTTCACAAACCTGATTTTGTTCCCTAGCTTCTCATTAGCCACCCTGTGTACAAAAAAAAAAGAAAAATTGGAATAGAACTTAAAACAAATGAAACAAAGAACTTTTAAAAAATTATAGCAAATATTAAACGGAATACAATTTGGCAAACTTAACAGGATAGAAAAACCAAGCCGTAAAAAAATATTTTCAGTTTTTATTTATCTTCTTTTGAGGTTTTTTTAAATGAAGTTTATAATTGAGTTCACCCCCTCCTACTGCAATAAAATGCACCTCCTGTGAGTCTTCAGTGTTGCCTATCAAAGAACCCATACTCTCAAAAACTTCTTCTTTCCTACACACTAACTCTGATGGTACTTTACAGTTTGTGTGCCTTAGAGCCACTCCTACACTTCCCTGTTCTAAGACTGTCCCCTTATTTACACAATCTTGCTCCTGAACATATGTGATGTCACTTTGACCTAGATCCTCCCCTACTCCCCCCATCACCCTATCAACACAATCTTGCCCCTGAACATATGTGATGTCACTTTGACCTAGATCCTCCCCTACTCCCCCCATCACCCTATCAACACACTCTTGCCCCTGAACACATGTGTTGTCACTTTGACCTAGATCCTCCCCTACTCCCCCCCTATCAACACACTTTTGCTCCTGGACCCATGTGTTGACGTTGTGGACCACCAGCTCGCTCTCCCTGTGCAGCTTGTCCCCATTGGACCGTGACTCCTCCAGGGCAGCCCTCAGGCCAGAGATTTCTTCATTGGCGCTGCGATAATTCTGTTTCATCAGTTCCAGCTCACTCAATAATTTATTGGACTGCAGAGCAAAAATTTAAGTTCCAAAATTTATCAAATAATAAATTCCAAAATGTATCAAATAAAACAACAATAATGTCTGCACTTTATGATTGTGATCTTTGTTATAGGGTATAATGATTATGAAAATAAGGAAATGAAAATAATATTAATTTTTAAAAAGTTATCAACTCCTTAAGCCCATAACAATGTTGCCAGCAGTGAGCAGACCGGACTGTCATACTGTAACAATGCTCCTAGCTTCAAATCCAAGTTTTAGATAGTAGGCCTATATATAGGATATGATATTACTATCATTAATTTTCCCGGCAGAGGAGTATTTTTTCCTCGAAAAAAATCATCTTGACTTTTCTTCTTTAAAACTAAGTAATTATCTTTGATCAAAATAAACTGATAGTAGTGTAACCTTTCAATTACGACTGATTTATATCAGTAATTTGTGGGTTTAAAATTAATGGGTGAAAAGATCTGAAGGGTTTTTCAGCATAGCTACTAAATATAATTGAGTAAAACAAATTCCGGTGAAAAGTGAAAATAATTCTGTGCTTAAAGAGTTAAATAGTTAATAAAATTTTTATAAGATGATAGGTTGTTTGGTGAAAATATTAGAAATTAATTTATAGTGAGAGACACTCAAACTCAGAGTCTCTAACCTCTTCATTGGCAGCCTTGTATTTCTCTTGCAAGCTGCTGAATTCCACCTTAAGGACCACATACTCCTCTTCTTTAGCTGCAAGTTCCTGTAGTGATTGCTTTTGCTTCTCTTGGCTTGTCACTAGATCTACTTGCAATGCGGTGTAGCGCTCTTCAAAATGTTGCAACTGAGGAGATTGATCAGAGTATGAAGGTCTGTTATAATAACGTTAGAGACAAATATTATTTTTTTAAAATCTGTGTTTCTTCTGTACCTCATCATCTGTTGATTTATTGATTTCTTGAGTTTTTCTCAGCTCATTCTGCAGCTTCCTTAACTTTTCATCATAGAACATTATCTACGGAAATAAAAATAGCATAAAAATGACTTTGTAATGCAACAAACTCCATTCTGTAACAAAGTAAGAATTTAAAAATTGTACCTGCAATTTATCAACTTAACTTTAAAAAAAAAATTTCTAACAGTCAATGCTATTGCAGTAAAGATAAACGTAGTTTTTGGTTCAGAGTAATATCTTAATATTAAATGTTTGTCTATGTGTCATGCCTGATCATTTTAAAAAAATAATTGCAAAATTTATCTTCCAAAACTGAAGATTGAACAACAACACAGCACAAAGAAAGGGGTCAAGTTATCCCACCTCCTCCTTCATTGAGTTGTTCTGCTGAGAAAGTTTGGCCGTCTCAGTCTTGATGGTGGCTAGCAAGCGAGATTTCTCTGTCAGTTGCTCCATGGATTCCTTGTGGTTCCCTTGGACAGTGGTCAGCTGAACTTTCAGCTCATGGATCTTGGCATCTGCCTCCATCAACTTCATAAAAAAAAATTTATTGCCAGACATTGTTTCTTGTAGTGACAATTAAAATAAACTACCACTGCCAGATCTTAAAACACTAGAAGAGTATTACACTGACTTGAAAACTGGAAATCTTTCATTTAAAATTATAGAACATACTTTGAAGCATCTCTATCAAGTAATTCTGTGGTCTTTGTAAAAAGCCCAGCTTAAAATAGCATCAGTTACCCATGAGAACCAGATGGACTGGGGTATCATATAGATACAAAGACCAATTTTATCAGGCACCACAGGACCAGAAGGACACAGTACAAGCATACAGACATCTTGTATTAAGAAAACGAAGAGAGCATGTCTTACATCAGAACTGGACTTGCGATATTGTTCCTGCAGCTTCTCTTGTTCCTTCTGTAACTGTGCCAGTGTATCTTCATAGCGGGTGATCTGCACCAACAAATATTACAGTTAAAATGTCTTTAAACTGAAGCCTAAATCTAAAACTACTTAAATAAAAACCCATGAGAATAATCTTGACAGAGCATATAATTTAGTTCACTACATTTCTAAATCAAAAAGTACTATAACAAATAAATCTTACGTACTAAACTAAACAAACCAAGAGAGAAAGCGGAGGTTAAAACTTACCTCCTGTGTGTGATGCCTAGCCTGTTTCTGAGCTGACTGCAGGTTCATGTTGGCCAAGCGGAGTTGTCCTTCTCTCTCTGCCAGAACCTCACTTGTCTCCCTGTTCTTAGCTTGAGCCTCATCTATCTCATGCCTGAGTCTTGCAATCTGTTCTTCTCTTGCTTTCACCTAGGGGGTCAGGGTCAAACTGTTGTTTACGCTTTATATTTCAGTAGTTACATGAGGATTTTTGGGTCTAAATTATGTGTGTAATAGAACTAGTGTATTTCTTATTTTATTATGGGGCAGGGTCATGGTGATAGTTGGGGGAGGGTAGGAGGGAAGTTTAAGGAATCTGCTGCTCACACACCATTTACATAAAAATATATATATAAGCAGGATACCTAAACTTCAACTTCATCTACTTTATGGATCCATATTTCTTTTTTTTTTACATAAAATTCTTTTGTACAAAAACATAAGATAAAAAACTAAAAATAAGCAAGTCAATTGTGTTGTCAATTGTGTTGTCAATTGTGTTGCCAATTGTGTTGCCATACCCTCTCCTGGAACTCCCTGATCTGTTTCTGCAAGGCCTCAAGGTCAGCCTGCAGCTCTTGGCTGACTTTCTTGCTGCCATTCAGCTGTCTGGCTGTCTCTGAGTGTCTTTCTCTCTCAGCTCTTAGCTCTGTCTGAAGCTGGACCAGAATCTGCTCCTGCTGCTCCACCTGTGAACCAGGAAGTAGAAAAACTATCAACAAATCTGAACCAGGAATAAAAAACTATCAACAAAATTATGTGAACCAGAAAGTAGAAAAACTATCAACAAATCTGTGTGAACCAGGAAGTAAAAAACTATCACCAAAGCTCTGTGAACCAGAATCTCACCTGGTCAGACAACATTTTCTCTTGCTCCCTCGCGCCAGAAAGTTCCAGATCCAGCTTGTAAGCCTGCTGCTTATAGGCCACGCCCTCCTGTACGGAGGCGTGATACTCCTCTTTTGCTGTCATGAGGTCCTTGCGCAGCTTGTCAATGACAGTCTTTTGCTCATCCATCTCCTCCTCGTAGTTTGCTGCCCTCTCTTTGGTGGCCTTCAGCTCAGCCTGCAACGTTGCAAAGTTACTTTTAAAGTTTATAAAGCAGTATTTTTTTTTATGGCTAAATGTTTTAATCATGTACGATATAGCCAATCAAAATATACATAGAAGAACTTAATAACAAGAGAAACTCTCATGTAATTACCTGATGTTGTGTTGAAACAATTGTCTCCCCTGTAGCTTCCTGTTGTGTTTAAACACCTGATTTACATGTAGCTTCCTTATGTTGTGATTTAACAACAGACTCACCTGTTGCTTCCTGATGTGTTTAAACACCTGACTCAGATGTAGCTTCCTAATGTTGTGATTTAACACCTGACTCACCTGTTGTGCCATGATGTTGTGTTTAAACACCCGACTCACCTGTAGTTTCCTAATGTTGTGATTTAACACCTGACTCACCTGTTGTGCCATGATGTTGTGTTTAAACACCTGACTCACCTGAAGTTTCCTAATGTTGTGCTCATGTTTGACAACTTCTGTCACCCTCTGGCTGAGCTGGTCCTGTGTGGACTGTAGACTCTGCTCCATCAGGTTCAGCTTTTCTTCATGGTGGGCCAGCTGGTGGTAGGGTGGGGAGGGAGGGAGGGGAGTTTAAATTAATGCATATGGGTATATTATAATTAGTAGGGTGACTAAAAATAGTAAAACTGAAGAAAGTGTGTACCTCCTGTGCACATTCCTTGTACTGAGTTCTTGCTTCATTCAAATCTTGTTTCAAATTTTCACCAGTTACTTTCATCTCAGCTATCTGATGGTTTTTTTTTTAAATTAATTCAGACACTATATTATAAAATACAATACAAACTACAAAAAATGATATCAAAATATAATCTATAACATGTCTCAACCTGAAGCATAAAATAAAAAAGAACTTACGCTTGTTTCCAGCTGTTTGTTATGGGCGTGGACCTGGTTCAGTTCTGACTTGACCTCATGGATTGAACTCTCCAGTTTCTCTATCTGGTAACATAAACATTGGACATTAAAAAATATTCACATTGAATCAACTAAGCTAAAGAAAATTTCTTAAGGTGGTTCTATCCCAAAGTGGTACCATGTTACTTTTAACTGGGTAACAATCCACCAATACCATGTCTTACACAATTAATTTGGCCAGTTGGAGGGAATTTATTTAATTTGCATGCTTCGTATAACAGACTTCTACAAACAATTTGTTTCAATAAAAAACAGGTGATCTGTATAGAAGCACAGAGAAAATTTAAAAAAAAAAAACTGCAAATGTTTTAAACAAAAAAAAAATGTGTCCAAACCTCTTCCACCTTACTGCGGATGTCATCCCTACAGTTGGCAATCTCTGCCTCGTTACGTTTGATCTGCTCCTCCTTGCTGTTGACAGTGTGCTCAGCATTCTGCAGCTCTCCCTGTGTCTGACCCAGCTGTCTCTCCAATGTGGCTATCTGTTCCTCATAACGGCAGGCCTCACTCTTATGGCGCTGGTGTGCTGAGGCCAAGTTTAGCTGGAGCTGCTGCAGGTTTTGTTCCAGTTTTTCAATCTGGGGGAGGGGGAGGAAGAGACAAAAACAAGAGCTGATCCAGTAAATTCATTCACACCAGCTTATTTTAAACATTATAAAGTAGAATCAAGGTACACATTTATTTTAACTTTTGTTTAAAATTAAATTGTGTATTGGGAGAGGTGTGGACAGCATAGATTGGGATAAGTGTAGAGTTGACAGTGTATAGTTGGTATGTTTTCAGTTGACAGACCATATCTCACAGATAACATGGGTTGACTAGCAACATTTCAATTTAACTAAGCCATCTAGTTTGTTTTTAAAAAAATCTTAAATCAATGTAGCAGCACCAACCTCCTTTAGCACAGTGGTCCTGTCATCTTTGGTTTGCTGTAGATCAGACTGGCATATGCTGAGGTCAGTCTTCAGCTCCTCAATAACCCTCTGCTTGGTTTCTCCATCTGCGTGAGACTCTTCCAGCTGGTATTCAAGGTTGGCTATGTGATCCTCTTTATCAGCAAACTACATTCACACAGTTGACAAGGATAAGGAAATTGTAAAGAAATGTTTAAAATTATTTCAAATGGCTTTTGTATTTTGGATACAATTAAATATTGATTTTTATTACCTCTCTGTCACTGTGACTATGCTCATTCTGATAAGTCAAAAGCTTGTTTTCATAGTCCTGAGCCCTCTCTTCATTTTGGAGAGACTGGAAAGGGAAATAAAATCATTTGTCAACATAGCAAAGAGTGATAGTTATCTCCCTAAAAAGCAACAAACTATGATTGAATAAAAATATTAAACATTAAAAAAAAATAATTCTAAATTGAATTGCTAGAATTTATAATTAAGTCTATTTTGTATTTTTTGTATATTTTACAAAACAGAAGTTTTTGTTGTGACCCAGATGACCCTACCTGATGCTGAACTTCCTGTACCCTCTCCTTCAAGTCCCTGTTAGCCTCCTCCACCTCCTTGATGCGCCCGTAGGCAGACCTTAGTTCATTCTGTGTGTTCTCCAGCTCCTTGGTCAGCTGATGTATCATCTCCTCACACCTACCCACCTCCTCCTTGCTCTCACTAAAGGCACGATCCAAGCCCTCCAGGTCAGACTTTTGTTGTTCTATCACGGCTTCCTTGTCCAGCTCCTGGGACCATGTTCAGAAAAACACAAAATTTAAACACATGGAAATAATTTTTTTAAATAGTGGAAAAGCCCTAGAAAATACTATTTCAGATCTGGAAATATAATTGTTGGTACCTAACAGCTGTAAGAGTATTGCTCCATTATTCAAAAAGTAAAAATAACTCCATTATTCAAAAAGTAAAACTGAGGAGCTTTGTAGGTACTAAAATTATTTAATTAAGTAGAAATGCATTTGTTAACATGCATTAAACCCAAAAAAATAATAACTTCATCAGGATAATAGAGAGAATAAGTTTAGCTTTATTATCAGACATTAGCACATGCATACTGTTAGTTGATAAAAATTTACAAAGTCCCACAACACATTCTCTCCAGAGCCTTTTTAATGTATTATTTCTTTCATTAAGAACTATAAATTAATAATTAATTAAAGTAATTTTAGTAAGCAAGAGGTTAAAAATGGGAAGACAACTCACCCTACTTCTGCTCTCTGTCAGCTTCTCCTGCAGGGAGGCAGCTGTGGTTTCAAGATGGCTGATCTGGTTACTGGCCTGGGAGTATTTCTGTTTATAGTTGCTGAGGGCAGTGTCCAGCTTCTCAATCTCCTCATTGGCAGCCTCCAGCTGGCTCTGTGTGATGACCAGCTGCTGTCGTGTCTCTGACAGCACGCCCTCCTGCTGTTTCAAGGCTTCATTTTGTCTTCGAATCTAAACATGATATTTTAAGTATTTACACAATTGTTGGCTCATTACATCAGTTAACATTCAAAAAAAATTAAAAAATTGTAAGATGAAATGACAAGAGATTGTTTTTTAAATAAAAATTAAATTACCTAGAAAATACTAGGAAGTATATAATACATTTTTACTGTAATTGTTAAGATGAACATAGTGCATACACAGTGCCCAACTTCTCTTTTCTTAGTTTGAGTTGTGACACCCATCCATCATAACTGAGTTAAGGGACTTGGCCACATAGAGCTATGAAACTATTGACTATGAAGACTAATGAACTACACCCACCTGCATATTCTTGTTAGGAATGTCACAATCTAAAACTTATTCACTTTATTCCATAGTTCAGTACAATTAGCTTTAACTTAAAAGGTAGAAAATGGTAGAATAACAACACTACAGAAAGGGAACTAACTGGTGTATGACTACTTACATCGTTAGCACTCTCATCCTGGAGGTTCTTGTAGCGGGTCAGGTCGTCGTTCAGTCCGGCTATCGTAGCCTTCAGCTCAGCATTTGACCTTTTGAACTCTGACAGCTCATTGGCCGTGAGCTGCAGATCCTCCCTGGCATTCTCCAGATCCTCCAGCAGCCTTGCATGCTCAGCTGACGACGTGTTCTTGGTCACTTGCAGGTCAGACTTGAGCTGCTCTATCATGCGCAGGTAGTTCTTGGCCTTCAGGGGTCAGAGGACAAGTGGCAAGGTGAAAAATACAGCTGGCACAATGATATACAGATGTTTAAAATGAAATAAGAACAGGATGATACAACTTTATAATTAAAAGAAGATAATTTACAATTTATAAGCCTCTCAAAAAGTGAAAATAAGTACAGATAAGAACTACTTAATCATTACATTTTTTAAATACTTCTTTTAAGGTAAGGCTGACTAAAGTGACAAAAGCTGTGGGAATTAGAAGGCAACTTTCTTATAATATTAACAATGGATAAATATTAATAGTTTTATTACATTTAGACACAATTATTTGACATGCAAGATTACTAGCAGTAACAGAATAATGTGATCATGCTGACATGACAGCTGCGACTGTCAAGTACATGTCCTTCAGCAATGTGACACACCAGTTCAAGACAAACAAAACAAAGAATTCAGTTTTAAGACAGACAAAATTTCAGGCAAGAAAAATGTCACCATGCTTAACCACAGGTAACAAGCAATGAGAAAACAACAAACACGTCCATTATTCCCATATGATCAACAACCACCACCAGTAGCAAGAACTCAAAAAATGTCCCCCATTTGATCAAAATTGCTTGATGCAGGATTATATATATATAACTTTAAATCTAAAAGATAGTTTTTTTTATATCTTCTATACACAGGATACAAAATTTAAAGAAGGTTGTTGCATCACAAAAAGGATATACTCATGTTCATTATGACTAAAAAAATTATTTAAATGAGTGTTAACAGTAAGAGTTCTGCAAAGGCTAAGTTGAAAGGTCGGGGTGAAGGTGACTAGCCAGGCATGTGAAACAACATGTAGACAACTAAACCATGCCAGAATGTTTGTATAAATTTTATACCTGAGTTTTCCAACAATCTGAAACTGCTTGAGTGAGAAAACTTTCTCAAACTGAATCTACCTGTTTGTGGCCTATAATTATCTTCTAAAACTAGGTCAATAACACAATATGTAAATGTAGCTGATGAATGTTACTGATATTAAAGTATCAATTCAATGCCGGTGCTAGGGATAACACAAAACTATTACATGAACTTTAAATAACAGAACTTTTCATAAAGTTGTAATAAGATTTCATTACAGATGTATTCCACATGAGCTCTCCACTGAAAAGGTATAAAATAATGGGACTAGCAGTGGCCAGGAAATCAACATTAAGATGTGTAAACAGATGATTGAGTAAAAGGAACTTTGTACCATATGCATTGATAATCAAATACTGAATTTGCTAAGTTTGTTTCAGCATTTATTCACAAGTGCTGACAATTTTTGGTCATTCATTTCAAGAATTTTCAGCCATGACCAGCAGTAAATGTACTGGGGGAGGCGGCATAAAAACATCAACGGAACTAAAAATTAACTTTAAAAATTACCAATCAACAATGTATTTGTGCATTTAATTTAAATATTTATTTCACAAGACATGTTTAAAACAACCAGAAAGTAAATAACAGTGGTAAAAGGCAAGTGGTGCTTAAAGCTGGTCCTTAAGGTGGTCAACATTAACTGGGATAGAGATAAAAAACAACGGGCTTTATGTGTCAAGCATGAGCAGTCAACAGGGATGAGGTTAATCTAAATAACAAAAAACTAAATGAATCAAGCAGTCTCAGATTGGTCCCAATTATGATCCGGTGGAATTGTTTTTTCACAACTTTAGCTGAAGTTATTGGCAGAGAAAGAAAAAAAAGAAAATCAGAATCTGTTTTCACGTTTGACAATTTCATCATAAATACCTCTATAAAAGTGTATTCTGTTTTCAAGGTCTCATATTTTATTATAAAATAATTTTTTTTTAATAATATAAAATTAAAGCCAAGAGATGAGACAGAAACTTTCAAAAGTGAGTTACCTCTTGCAGAGCCATCTCTTCATCATGCTGTAGCTCTTGTATTTTTTTCTCATATTCAGCAACCTGGTGGTGATAAGGTGAGGACAAAGATTACAATATAGCATCAATACAAACACTACCCTACACAATGTAGCATCAATACAAACACTACCCTACACAATGTAGCATCAATACAAACACTATCCTATGCTCTACAGCTAGATGGACAACATGATCAAAACTTCTTGTGGCAATAATGGGGGGATGCTAATTCATCAGATCTATGTGGACTCTGGTACCCAAGCTTCACACCATTATTTTACTTTAAAAATGAAATTCTTGACCACACCTGATCTGCACTCAGCTGACAAAAAAAAAGGTTCACTACAAACATGTGAAATCTGCAAGTACCTGGTGAAATGTTCACTACAAACATGTGAAATCTGCAAGTACCTGGTGAAATGTTCACTACAAACATGTGAAATCTGCAAGTACCTGGTGAAATGTTCACTACAAACATGTGAAATCTGCAAGTACCTGGTGAAATGTTCACTACAAACATGTGAAATCTGCAAGTACCTGGTGAAATGTTCACTACAAACATGTGAAATCTGCAAGTACCTGGTGAAATGTTCACTACAAACATGTCAAATCTGCAAGTACCTGGTGAAATGTTCACTACAAACATGTGAAATCTGCAAGTACCTGGTGAAATGTTCACTACAAACATGTGAAACCTGCAAGTACCTGGTGAAGTGTTCACTACAAACACGTGAAATCTGCAAGTACCTGGTGAAATGTTCACTACAAACATGTGAAATCTGCAAGTACCTGGTGAAATGTTCACTACAAACATGTGAAATCTGCAAGTACCTGGTGAAATGTTCACTACAAACATGTGAAATCTGCAAGTACCTGGTGAAATGTTCACTACAAACATGTGAAACCTGCAAGTACCTGGTGAAATGTTCACTACAAACATGTGAAATCTACAAGTACCTGGTGAAATGTTCAAACATGTGAAATCTGCAAGTACCTGGTGAAATGTTCACTACAAACATGTGAAACCTGCAAGTACCTGGTGAAATGTTCACTACAAACATGTGAAATCTGCAAGTACCTGGTGAAATGTTCACTACAAACATGTGAAATCTGCAAGTACCTGGTGAAATGTTCACTACAAACATGTGAAATCTGCAAGTACCTGGTGAAATGTTCACTACAAACATGTGAAATCTGCAAGTACCTGGTGAAATGTTCACTACAAACATGTGAAATCTGCAAGTACCTGGTGAAATGTTCACTACAAACATGTGAAACCTGCAAGTACCTGGTGAAATGTTCACTACAAACATGTGAAATCTACAAGTACCTGGTGAAATGTTCAAACATGTGAAATCTGCAAGTACCTGGTGAAATGTTCACTACAAACATGTGAAACCTGCAAGTACCTGGTGAAATGTTCACTACAAACATGTAAAATCTGCAAGTACCTGGTGAAATATTCACTACAAACATGTGAAATCTGCAAGTACCTGGTGAAATGTTCACTACATACATGTGAAATCTGCAAGTACCTGGTGAAATGTTCACTACAAACATGTGAAATCTGCAAGTACCTGGTGAAATGTTCACTACAAACATGTGAAATCTGCAAGTACCTGGTGAAATGTTCACTACAAACATGTGAAATCTGCAAGTACCTGGTGAAATGTTCACTACAAACATGTGAAATCTGCAAGTACTTGGTGAAATGTTCACTACAAACATGTGAAATCTGCAAGTACCTGGTGAAATGTTCACTACAAACATGTGAAATCTGCAAGTACCTGGTGAAATGTTCACTACAAACATGTGAAATCTACAAGTACCTGGTGAAATCTTCACTACAAACATGTGAAATCTGCAAGTACCTGGTGAAATGTTCACTACAAACATGTGAAATCTGCAAGTACCTGGTGAAATGTTCACTACAAACATGTGAAATCTGCAAGTACCTGGTGAAATGTTCACTACAAACATGTGAAATCTACAAGTACCTGGTGAAATGTTCACTACAAACATGTGAAATCTGCAAGTACCTGGTGAAATGTTCACTTACAAACATGTGAAATCTACAAGTACCTGGTGAAATGTTCAAACATGTGAAATCTGCAAGTACCTGGTGAAATGTTCACTACAAACATGTGAAACCTGCAAGTACCTGGTGAAATGTTCACTACAAACATGTGAAATCTGCAAGTACCTGGTGAAATGTTCACTACAAACATGTGAAATCTGCAAGTACCTGGTGAAATGTTCACTACAAACATGTGAAATCTGCAAGTGCCTGGTGAAATGTTCACTACAAACATGTGAAATCTGCAAGTACCTGGTTACTTTTGTGGTCAATGAGATCGTTGTTTTCTCTGATCTCTTGTTGCAGCTGTTTCAGTCTGGCCGACATCCTCTTCATCTCCCCTTCATTTATTTTTAGCTGCAGGTGGAATAGAAGGTGAATTATATCTCCATTTGATAACAGCCATAACCCACACTTTCTACTTGAGGTAGCCACCAGACATCACCCACACTTTCTACTTGAGGTAGCCACCAGACATCACCCACACTTTCTACTTGAGGTAGCCACCAGACATCACTCACATATTCTACTAGAGGTATCCACTAACTGCCTTCAAATGTTCTACATTAGGTATTTACTAACCACCTACAAATGTTTATATGAGGTATCCACTGTATGCCTACAAATGTTCTATTTGAGGTATGAACTAACCACCTACAAATTTTCTATTTTAGGCACCCACAACTGACTCACCTCTTCCATGCTGCCAGAATAATTCTGCTGAGCTGTGTCAAGGTCAGACTGCAATCTAAGAATCACCTGGTCGCGATTTGATACCTGTATGGATAGAAAAGCGAATCTAACTAATAACAGATCAAATGCTTTGAAAAAAAAAATTATTAATAGTTTTGCATATTAAACATCAGTGAATGAACAAAATTTAATATTTTATTTTAAAATTAAAAAAAAAAAAGTTTTCTTTGGTATTCATCGATTAATAAAAACAGGTTCCATAATAGTTCCATCAATCACTTGATATGTGTAGGGTCTAAATGAAGCGATTAAAAAGTATGTTACCTCCTTCTGACATGTCCTGTGTTTCTCCTGTGTGATCGTCAGGTCAAGCTCCAGCTGATGTATCTGGTCCTGGAGGACAGTCACTTTTTGACTAGCAGCCTGGGACACTTTGTTCAGCTGGGAGTGTTCTCCCTTTAGCTGCTCCAGCTCTTCTTCCACTTTAACCAGCTGAAAGTTTGTTTACATCTCAAGCATTAATCAGTCATATTTTAACATTTGTTATCAATACTTTAATGTTTTTATTCTATAATATCTTGCTGATGATTGAAAATTTAAGAATATAGTCGTCTAAAAATCTTTATTTGTCTATGCAAATAGTACAGTATCTTTTCACAGTACAGTATCTTTCTTGCCTGTGTAGCACACATCTAAGGAGACTATAGCACCAACACGTGTGCCACATAAATTAGTTGCTACAGCCATAGTTTTTTTCCTTTCCTCTAAGTACACCTAATTAAAGTGGATATACATAATATGACCTAACTATCATGAAGATATCTATCTATACACCATCTATACACCACTAAAACTCAAGTTTGTTTACAAGTTTGTATATTTATTTATTTTTTTGTTTAATTTTTGTTTGTCTGTTCCGCTAGATCAGAGCATCTGCTTTAGGTATATAGAACTATAAACCACGTATTTATGTAGAGAAAAAGGTTATTTTTCCCAAAATGTTATATAAAAATCTTCGCTTTTTAGTTTCACAGATCATCTAATTCAAGAATACAATGAATTTATCTAGAGCTACTGATGGACCATTTTTCGTTTGCCCGTGAACAAGTAGAGAAACTATCTAGATTCTAGATCTAGAATCGAGGCCAATCTGAAATAAACACAATGAATAATTCAGTTTCTTTACTAAACTATTTCAATTTTTTTTAGCAATGGAATAGACCAAATTAGGATACACATTTTTCTTCTTGCCATACTAAGCACAATTGAATCATTCTTAACTTATTTAGTACAATACCCAATGCTTTCAAAAAGGTAGCTTTAGTATTATCATGACAACCCCAAAACGTATTGGTTGGTCAATTCATGAGGTGTGTTTATCAAGCCAAACTTATCACTACATGTGTTTTTCCAGCCCAATGGCTTGGAGAACTAGCTTAAGAGTTACATTAACATAACAAAGCAGGAAAAGTTCATTTTTCAGACAAACATTTTGTATTACCTAAGTGAAATCAAAGTGAAAGGTGATCTAGGATATGAACATTTAGACCATTTTGCTGTGGTTAGTGTTTATGACACTGTATATAAAATAAATGGTGCCCACTGATAAACCTTACACAGCCATTATTTCGCTGCTCTGTCTATTTATTCATTTCAATGGAAAAGCTATATATAGTTATAGTCAACAAATGAGTGTTAGAATTAATTAACATTTTCTTCAAATGTTATGTTGATTTTGAAACCCCTTTTTTTGCACTAGTTTTTTCATTATACTTGTGTGCAATGATGTCTTATTCTGAGGTAAGAATCATCATTACAACACAATGTAACACATCTAAAGTAAGGATGAGACAAACTTGTCATCCCTTAAATGATAGCACTTCATCTAAAGGCATACACACTGACACAGCAAAAAGGTTTAAAATGTGTCAGTGATGTTTCTATAAATAGACAACACACCTCGTTGTAGCAGGCAGAGTGCTGGCTCTGTGACTCCAAGAGGTCCTCTTGTAGGTGTTTGATCTTCTCCTCATAGCGCACAAGCTGGTAAAAACAAGGCAAATACATAAGATCATCTTTACCACTACACTACATAAGTTTAATCTTTGAAATGAAGCTATAAGAAAATAAATCAAATCTCTTTGAAGTTGGCTTTGATGTTAAAAACTTAAATACAAATTTAATTTTTTATCCAATCTTTATTCTAAGACCTATACCAAACTAATAACACGTTGGAACATTTTAAACTGGCAAGATAATATAATTGCCTGACTTTACATGTGTAGTGTAGTACAACACTTACATCTTCTTCTCCTCGTCTGCGAAGGTCATCGAGTTCATGGTGACACTGGGTCAACGTGCCCTGGAGCTTCTTTATCAGCTCTGATTGTTTGGCAATCTGTTAAAAAACAAAAACATTGTTTAAACCTGCAAACATACATGAAATAATTATTTACTGAATTGCAAGTTATATCTAAAATAAATTTTAGAGACTATTAGGAAAATATGTTCAATTTGATATAAGAAAGCTTTATTAAATTAAATAGGACAAATTTGTTATTACAAAATATAGATTTACTAATGCTGATAAAGAACTGCAATGACTTAAGAATCTGTTTTTTTTTTTTACTTTCCTCACTTCCTAATAAAGCCAAGAATGAGTGACCATAGCAATAACATTACTGTTTGGTTAAATCAAATTTTAATTAATTACTTCCATGCAATGGTTATAAAGTAGACACTTGCCACTATCCACATGCCAACTCTCATTACATCAACATACTAAAACATGCTTTTATTATCAATTTAAATTATTGAAATAAGTGAGAATTCGTGATCATTCAATAACACAGCATACCAAAACAAGTGCAAGTTTTGTGACAGTGGTGTGTATGAGAGAGCCAACATTCAAAGATATATCTGGGTGAGGGTGATTCATACACTATATTGTGTTGTTGTTTTTAAATTTCAAACTAAAGAAAAACATGCCTTGATGCTTGAATGTTTAAAGTTGGTACACAAATTGTACTAGCATCTTAGATATTTTCTTGAACCTTTCATTTTTTAAACAGAATTATATGGAGTTTCTACTGATTCAAGCTGTTTTTCAGTGTTTTAATCAAAGTGGAAGGAACAGCCATTACAAGCCTGAATGAGGGAACATTTAGCTCAAGCTTTTCAGGTGACTGGACAGAAACCAAACATAATGAAAAAATAAATAGCATTATTAAAGGGTGATAAGATAATCCTACTTAGAGGGTTAGAGATTTTTACAATTTCAGTGTTGAGTTAGAAATTTTTTAAACTGTGAAATAGTAAGTAGAAGCTTGACTTAACTATTAACAACAAATGCTAATTTATTAAGCTAAATTGTGATCCCAACAATAAAAAAAGTGTCCAATATTTATTTAAAGACTTACATAAAAACCATCTTGAAAACAAATGTAAATGTCAAATTTGGTCATTAAAAGCTAATTATATAAACACTATTTAAAGTCTAATAGTTCTAGTGTAAAAGTATAAGAAACCTAAAAATCTGGCCAACTAAAACATGAACTAATCAAGGTATTTATACAAAACTATCGGTGTGGAGCACAAACCATATAGCTAGAGAATGTATTCATCCCTGCTGTTTATGGGACAACTCTGCTAAAAAAAAAAAACTGAACATAAACCCTCAGGACAACCCTCCCAATGGGTTTAAGTCCAGGGTGGTTTATGTCAGGGTTTTTTTTATTTAGCAGGCACCAGGTTTTACAAATCTTACAAATAAACAAAATAAAATACATTGCTGGTTGAGGGTTAAAACAAATCATGCTAAGTACAAGCTAATCCTGTTTCTGAGATGCTGAGATGTTAATTGTTCACAATTTACAAGATTCTTGTTTCAACTGACTATTGATTATGTTTAAATACGTAAATTCTTTTGAAAAAAAAAATGAATATACTGAGCCGACACCAAACGATTAATTAATAACTATTAACTATAAACAATCAGACGTATGACTATGAAATGAGTGGATGAAAAAAATTGTATTAGATATTGTTCCCACAAAAAAAACCTGTAAATGCAACAATTCAATAGGTAAGCATGCGAGTACAAGGGAAGCGTGTGGAACAGCAATCAGATATGAGCAGAATAGAGAAAATACAATACCTCATTGGTACACTCGATGAGCTGTAACACGGGAGCATAGTTAAAGTAAACACTACAGAAAATGGTAGGCTAGGCTTGGTAAAATAACATCTACTTCAAACTGACATTGTGTGATTTTAGAAAATATAATAAATCTCTTTTAGGGCGTATTAGTAGTCGTTAGCCAAACATATGTTGGTTGCATACTGAAACAATGGTGGATACGAAAGAGACTTTGTAAAATAAATGATGGATGATTGTGTGTGTCCTGTTTGTGTCTGCTAAAAGATAAAAGGTTTTAACTTGACAAAGTTTTGTGCTTTGGTGATTGATGTTTTATTAATCCCAAAAGCACTAACATGATGATAAGACTGGCCAATGCAGGCAAAAGAGATATATTAAGTAAACAATTCTAGAAAAATGAAGACTTTTAATTTAACCAAGATAGCTTTAAGGGAATTATTTAAAGTCAAAAATATGTATTAGATTTGTTTAACTAGCATTTTTAATGTAAGGTGATGATCAGTTGGTTCATGTAATCAGGAAGTAAAACTAACAAAGTCTCTCAACACAACTTCATCAAACAATCAAGTTAGTACAAGAATATCAACTTTTTCTAGAGGTTGGCTACAGGGAGGGTGGAGAAGAAATGATTAAAGTGAAGTTAGTATAAGAACCCTAATTATTTGTCACACAAAGTAGTACCAGATTGAAGTTAATACGAGGAGGTTGAAAAAGAGATGTTTACAGCAGTCTAGTTCATGCACTAGAGTAAAAGTAAAAAATCTTATGACTTTAAAAACAAAGCTGGTTATAGTTAATACAGAACTATATCATCAGAAGTTATATTTTGAGATTTGATTGAAAAAAATGAAGCTAATAGGGTAAAAACAGTTAGGAAAGTTTCATGAATTTGCCTTTATAAAATTGAGAAATAATATTTGTTATATTTAAATTTTCTTCTTTGGTCCATGCTAGATCACAGATTAAATTGTAAATACCTCTTTAGTCTTCTCCTGGCTCTTAGCCTTGAGCTTGCCAATCTCCACATTCAGTTTCTGAATGCTTTCATCCCGCACTAGAACCTACACAAAAAATGAAAGTTACACTGGGTCAAGTTGTACAACATTGTTCTGTAACAAATAACTCGTACTGGAGTTGATCAATCGTGTTTTAAAGTTTAAAGAATAGAGTTGATAAATTGTTTTAAGGCTTAAACTCACTTTACTGACAGCTTCCTTCTGCTGACGACTTAAAGACTCAACATCACATCGGAGCTGGGCTATTATATCTTCTTTTGAATCAATCTGTTAATCAGATTTTGCATTTAGCAATTAAGGCACAGTAAATAATATTTTTACAGTTAGCTACTATTTATATTAGCTCAAAATGGCACACATGTCTAACTAAATTTTATTTTAATAGTAAATTTTAATAAATTTGGGTAAATTTTTCTTTCTAAATGATCATTCTATAAACCACTTTCAATAAGATGTGCCCAAGTTTTCAGCATTATTTTCTAACCACAATTACTAAAAGATTATGTCTCCAAGAGAAATCCTTCTTTTACACCTCAACTTTAACTGAATGAATTTTGATGATGCTTTTGTATAGTTATGACTCTTTAAAAAATAAACTAAATGAAATCAAGGAAAACAAACAAGCAGCAACAAAAATAATCTGAGAAATAAATGTTTTAACAAGCTGGCTGGTGCACTCACACACACAAAGTAAGACAACTTACTATATGTTTAAATTTTTCACACTGGGCCTCCAGAGTTGCAATAGATACAGTCAGTTCTCTGATCTTGTCTTCTAATCTGCTGTTTTCATCCAGTTGTTTCCCTTGGCGATCTTTGAGTTCCTCCACACTTGTCTCCAGGCTTTTGATAGCAGCTCTTTTCACCTCGTTCTAAATATAGAAATGGACAGATACAACACCAACTAGTCAGGATAAAAGTTTTTTAATTTCTTGTAAAAAAACAAAACATCATGCTATCAATGAATGAAAGATGTGGTGGAGTACACATATTTCAAAACAAATTTACAATTTGTATTTTTACTTGAAAAATATTCAGACTGTATCAAAAGGGGAAACACACACACAGACACACAATGAACATAAAATTGCTTCGTTCAAACACCAAAAAATCTTAAAGTAAGATTGTAAACTAAGAACTGGATTTTTTTTTTAAAAAAAAGCCAAAGCTGGGCAACTATGCCAGGGTGTAAAAATAAAATTGTTAAGTGATAAAAACTGAACAGACCTCATTCTGAGAAGATCTAAGCTGTGTCTTTAACTGCTCTGCTTCCCTCTCAGCTTGAGAAGCCTAAAATATATAACAAATTTAATTAAAGAATGAGTGACCATTTCAAGTTGTGACAGGGAAGTAATAGAATTGCACACATGAATAGAAATATTGTTTAATACACATTCTATTTATTAGGCTATGCATTTCATGTACATTTTTGTTAGTATCCTCAGCCAATTAAAACAAATGACTGTAAACAAACAAAGATGATTTATTTATTATTTCTATGTTTATGATTAATTCCATAGTGATAGTTATTTTTAATTTACCTTTTCTTCGTATCTGCTGCATACTTCCTGCAATTTCACAATATCCATTTTGAGACGCTTGATTGCTTCTTCCCTGCGTTTCACCTGGTGACGAATGAAAATAAGCTAATTATGATTAGTTAAGTACACAATCAATATAGATTTCTTTAAAAACAGCAAGGTTGTTAATATATTAACTTTAGATTCTAATATACAAATACACTAAAATAATAACACTAACAGAAACTAAAACAAATGATGCACTGTACCTCAGTGCTTAGTACGTCTTGTTCACTCTGGGCATTGATGGCAAAGGCCTGAATTCTTGCCTCCAGCCTGCCATTTTCTTCCACAGCATCTTTGTATTTTTCCTTGGCCAAGTCCAAGTCATGCTCCAACTGCTGCATGCTGATTTCCCTGCGCTGAATCTGGTTCAATAAAACGTTTGTGGGATTTAGTTAAAGACAAAACACCAAACTTTCAAAAATAATAAAACCATAAGCTTTGGCACTTTAAATATAGATTTTTTTTTAAAGTTTATGACTGCCTAGTTTTTTCTTTGTATAAAATTTTTTATTTAGAACCTTTAAAAAGTTTGTTACAATTACATCTGCTAAACAGTAGATACATAAATATACTTAATATTTTAAAACTAATATAGATATCCCAGTGACACGATCCTACCAATGCCACAACCAGCCACAACCACACAATCCATCACATCCACACAACTAATCACATAAAAAAAAAAATCACCATATCCACACAAGCCACCTCAGCTACATTACACACTACCCATCACAGTCACATAATCCACCATGTCCTTACAAACCACCACACCAACACAAAGTGCCACAGCCACACAACTCACCACATCTTCCAGCCTCTTCCTATCACCATCAATTGAGTGAAGCTCTGCCTCCAGTCTCTGAAGCTCTTCCTCCTTTCTGCTCCCCTCCCCCATCAATTCACGGATCTGCCCTTGTAGACGAGATATATGTTCCTCACGGGAGATCAGCTTCAAACACAAAACAATTGTAATTACATAAACACTTAAGAGCTTCATCAGGAGTGAGCTTAGACCAAACAAGCCATGATGGCAAAAATAATTAAATCTAATTTATTTTGTATGTTTTAAAAAAAAGTAATGTAAAGCAGTAGTTTTTATTTTTGCTTTTATTTTTCAAACCAAATCTCACCTGTCCTTCAGACTGAGCCATTTTTTCATGCATGACGTTGAGATCTGCCTTCAGTCTAGAAATTTCTTCCTCTCTGTCTGCGACCTCTGACCTGTATAGAGTTTCATTCTGTGAGGTCAGCAGGTCCTTCTCTTGTAGCTCTGTCTGTAGCCTGTCAATCTAAACATTCAAACAATTTTCACATTTCTGTAGGGTAAACGGTAGCCAGTTTCTAAACAGCAAATAGCCTACAATGAAACATTGCCAACTGACAAAGTAGCCTGCCTGACACTCTGTCAACAGACACAAACACCTTTGATAGCATATAATGAGACACTGCCAACTGACACCTTAAATAGAATTCACTATCTTATAGTTGGATGTTTTCATTTCTTTGCTGATTCTGAAGGTTCAATAACTACAAGTTTTGACCAGCAATTAGTTGAAAAAGTGGACAACCAGTGATCGTGAGATCTGGGTGGGTGCCAAATTTCAAAAGGAGGACACAGACAAAACATTTGTAAACAACTGATTTAGAAACGCACACTAACACTCCAGCCCTACAACTCACCTCCTTGGCTTGCACTGAATATCTCGTCTGCAGCTGTTGATGGTCTATGTCTGCCTGATCTATTTTTAGCTGGGTTTCTTGAGTCTAATGGAATATAATGGGAGCAGATAAATCATAAATAACAGTGGCAGTATTCTAGTGTGGTTCAACATGTACACATAATGCCACTTCAACCTGGAAAGTTAAAGCGGCCACTAGTTAGATATGAGCTTAACAGGCTTAAACTATTGCTCTTCTGTGATGTATGCCTGCAACTAGATTGTAGTTGTTAACTGGCAACAGATCTTTCTCTCCTCCAAAGTGGCTAGTATTCTAATGTGGGTCCTATGCAAAAACTAAACCAACACTTTTGAGTGATGCAATTTTTACCTTGACAGTGGCCATCTTGATTTCCTCTTTCAGCTGTTTGATCTGGTCACTCCTGGCCTGGGCTGTGCTAAGAGCTTCACGCAACTTCTCCTCAGCATCACGATTCTCATTCCTCAGCTTTAGAATCGTGTCCTGCAGGTCTGTCATCTAGTACAAGAAAAAAACTGCCAGAGGTTACTAAAATAGGGCTGGATTTTTAAGAAGTAAAAACTTGGAGAGTAACACATGAAAGATGGGTCACCCTCAGGACAGTTAGAGAAGCTAGCCCAGGAGCATGATAACGTTGATACAAGTTAAAGTTTTTAAAGAACTATCCCTTTTAAGGTGTAGTTAAATCAATGCTATAAGCTGAAAAATTATACCTTAAGATGTAGTAAAATCAATGCTATAAGCTGAAACATTATCCCGTAAGATGTAGTAAAATCAATGCTAAAAGCTTAAGAGTTATCCCTTTACCTCAGTAGTCAAAGTGTCCCTGGTGTCTTTAGATGAGCTCTGTAGTCTCTGTAAACTTTTAGTCAGTTTGGTCACCTGGAGAAATAGGCAGCCATTGATTACATAAACTTAATCAATGTTTTTATAATACACATCACTTCTGAGCTAGTCCGACCACTTACCTGCCCTTGAAACTCTTCATTCTGTCCCCTGAGTGCCTGCATTTCTCCTTCCAATCTTACAACTTTTTTGTTAGCACATTTGGCCTGGATTAAAGATCACACATTCTTTATTTCATCTAACAGAGCCTTGCGACCCATACATAGAGATTTTCTACCATAAACTATTATTGTACATAGAAAAACTACATCTTTGCTCCTGTTTTCCCCAATTTAACCTCAACTTTAATGAGAAAAACAAGAACTCACCTCATTATCTGCTTCACTGAGTTGTGACCTGACATGGCTGACTTCATCCTCCAGGGCTTTGTTTTTCTTCTCCATGCGATGGATCTGTGACAGGTAAAATTAAGTTTTAGAGAACCCAATCCAAGAAAGGAAAAAATATGTCTTAAAAATCAGACGCCAGACTTCTGGTTGTTTTACATGCAGGTTTTATAATGCTTAAGCTCATGTCCAACAGGTAACCAACATAAAGTGGTGGTTCAGGTATATAGAGTGATCACATCTATCTAAGGCAACAGTTGACAATTTGGCAATACAGCTGAATAAAGGGAATGTACTCTTAAAAAGTAAGTTCCATTGGTTAAAAACTGTCCTTCGGTTGAACCACACCACACAGAAAAACTGGTTTCAGCACTAATTTGATCACCTATTTCAAGTGAATATTCTTACATAGAAATTTAAAACAAAATAAATACAAATTTATGGCATGTGACACATACATATCTAAAATTTTAAAAATAATGAAGATCTATCAAAATTATTATAAATAAACTTTTTAGAAGAAATAATCTTATTTGTGAACAAATATTTTTACGCACTGAATAGTAACTGACAGTAAAACACCAAGTTTGTTTTAATAGAAACAGTTTTGACAAGATCAATTTTAAAAACTTGAAAGACTTTTTACCTTTAAAAATAACAAGACAACAAGCTGATATGTAGTGCAAGCATATTAATTATTCTGTGTACTTATTTAACTAAATACTGCTGCAGAAAATGCATACATATGCTAGTGCATTTAAAGCAACATTAACTAAATGCTCATAAGCACATTTATTAATTTTTAAGCTGAGCAAAATGCATCCTAGGACCCATGCACATTTTAAATTTAGTTTAAATCGTCCTTTCATCAAAGCATGTATTAATTATTTGTTACGGAAAATAATTAAATAATTAAATCTGATGGCTGAAGAAAATCAGCCGGGCATAGTGCTGACTACAGACACAAAAATTCCTTGATATGCTGGGGTCACTGAAAAATATCAAACCTCCTCAAATCTTGAAATTTGCTTTTTACGCCTAGCTAAAAATTAATATGTCATTCTCCAAATACATCTAAGTCAGATTTGAAAGTTGATGAGGCCAATCATAGTCTGCCTCCCAATTACTTTGTTTAAAAAAACCTCAAATGATTTTAAACATTTCTTTCTTTTTTTTGGACAAAGCAAAAAAAATATAAGGAGAAAGAAGATTACAAAGACATACTAGTAGTCTATTGCTGATATATTGATTCAAGTAAAACTAAGTGATCATGTAAAAAGGGGAGATAAGCATAAGTGAGATAAGTGAGGTGAAAAAAGACAACTTTTTAAAAAAAACAGGTAAAAGGATAACATGCACTAATTTTTTTTTCATCAGATGAGGAAAAATCATCAAATAGTATTAGTCATTATAGGTTTATACATTGTAACAGACATATTATTAGATTAAGTGGGTTGTTAAAAACTCTTCAATATCACTGATTTCTATTTAAGCTAAAAACTATCACCTTAGGCCTACCTAGTTATACACAATAGCATGTTATTAATAACAAATTCCAACACACTCCAGATTTTATTAATATTACAAACAACTCTGAAATACTGCATAGCAATAACTGGTATCTGCCACTTCTGTGGAAACATTGTGCTGGAATTTCAAAATAGTCCATTACTGATGAATTCAGTTGAGGACTAATTTTTAAGTTTAAAAAGAACGAATACTCAGAATTACATTTAGGAGTCATCCATTTATGACCTTCATGTGGAGGCTGGGCAGTGGCCAATCTCTGGGTTAAAAAAGAACTATTCTGGAGCTCATGGAAAGGTCCTTGGTAAGAGGGGGGGGGGGGGGGGAAGGATCTACACAATAAGTGTAACATCAAATTATTTAATATTGCCAACAACCTAAAAATATTTTATCTGCATCTAAAATGTATATATTGAAACTGCAGTGCTTGGGGAGGAGAGAAGTAAAAAAATTCAAATTTTTGTCTTTGGAGGCCACTTTATAACAATTTGATGACTTGTGATAGTTTTAAACTTTATTGTATTTTTTAAAAATAATTCAAAGTAAATAAGCTTTTCAAATTTTGAAATATCAGCACCATTATGACATTTATTTTATTAGAAACAAAAGTTATGTTAGTATTTTACAATTTAAATAAGATTTGCATGTTAATAGTAATCAACAAAAAAAACAATTTCAGTATACATGATATACAGTGTGACACCTAAAACATCCATGTAGTAAAAATGTAAAGCAGTTGTGCTGTGAATGGGTGTGAGGTGTTGTATATTTGCTGCACCAGGCCAATGTTATAAGTAGAGGGGGGTAAGTGAGTCAAGCAAAACCAGAGTTACCTCCTCCTGCACCCGGCATACATGTTGATCTACTTTAGAAAGTCTATGAACAGCTGCTTGATACTAGCAGAAATAGGATGGCGTTTCATTCATAAACAATCAAGTAGCATTCTGAATGCTTTCATTATCATGTCAAGTGAGCAATAATTATACCAATATATAAGCTACAGCTTATGATAACAGTGGATATTTTTTCATAAAGGCATATAAAGCAATAACGTTGGATAGATTTATTTTTTTAAATGTTAATTTTAGAATATAAAATTGTTAATATTGTTAAAATCAGTCTAGTCTGGAAAATCTCTAAAACAAATTATTTTAATGAACTTAACATTGGCTCAAATAGCATCTAAATTTTATAAATTATGAAAATACTGCACACAATTAACTAATACATCTGCATACCTCAGATAAAGTATTGTCTCTTTTCTCCTGCAGATTGAGAACATCCCTCCTGAGTTTTTGTATTGTTTCGTCACGGCGAGTCAGTTCTGATTTGAGGACTTCGTGATGGTCGTGTGTCGAAAGGCTACCTTCACGAAGTCTCTCTTGGAGGGCTCCAATCTGAACAATATGAACACAACCAAATCTTTTTACTAAACTGTTCATCTAGCTACACTGTTTAGATTGTCTAAAAGTTTAAGACATAATATTCTAAACAAATTGTGATATTTATGATCATATTTTAAAACATTTGGTATTAAAAATGTAAATTGATAATTTTAAAAAGAACATGTCAATCCAAAGGAAAAAAATGTGTTGTCACCTCATCAAGATTTTTTCTCCTGTGTTCTTTAGCCTCAGCAAGCTCTGCCTCCAGTGCCCTTATTCTCCGCTCATAATGCGAAACCTGGGAAATATTTTAAAATCAAAGTCATAATGGTATATTCATTATAAGAATGTTTCCTAAAAAGAACAAAACTGTTAGTATAAAAAATAAAAGTAAATCAAAACAGTAAAACATATCTGCGTTAAACTCTAAAAACTGACATTATGAGATGATTGAGAGTGCTGGTCCTTGAAGGCAACCATGTCAGACTTGAGCTGGCGAATCACCTCCTCTAGTTTAGATGTCTGGACACAGAAAATTTTATAGATCACACATATTTTCAAGTGGAATCTATGGTAGGTAAAGTAATCTCGGGGATTATGGGAATTGTTAGTAAAATAATCTCTGGGACTGTGGGAATTGTTGGCAAAATAATCTCTGAGACTGTGGGAATGGGTGATAATTTAATCTCTGGGACTGTGGGAATATTTGGTAAAATCATCTCTGGGACTGAGGGAATTGATGGTAATATAATCTCTGAGGAGACTGTAAAATAACAAAAGCAAAAAGTAGGTTGATGCAGTAGAAGTTTATCTTCTTTTTAAAAAATTTCCTAGCTGTACAAGGAGGGCAAAGTCTAGAACTATTTGATCTATGTAAAAATGATGAGCAGACAACCAACCTCTGCAGCAGACTGCCGACTCTTGTCCTGCAAGAGCTTGATGGTCTGCAGGGAGTTGTTGTTCTCAGAGTCTTTAATGTTGAGCTCTGACTGCAGGTCTTTGATCTGTGAGGTTAAACCTGAGATCTTGCGGTCTCTGGACTGAATCTATTGAGAGGGAAATGTATTAGACAAATCTTCTTTCACTTTGTACTTGGACAAGTCAATCTACAAAGTAGTGGGAGGGGACTGAAGTGGATTGTATGGTAGAGCATGAGATCAGACGCCAAAAGATTCTAGGATAAATGCATGATGTGATAGACTTTATTTACTAGATATTTAGCACCAATCTGAGCTTATTCAGTTTAAATGAGGCCTCAGCTAATAAAGACCAGAAGTTTGCGTGTTGCGTTTGCGTTTGCATTTGTTTGTGTTTTCTTTTGTGTTTGTGTTTGCATTGTGTTTGTGTTTTCTTTTGTGTTTGTGTTTGTGTTTAGTTTTGTTCTGTTCCCAAGTTGGTACATTTAAAAAAGATTCACTGTGGCAGAGCACATATATAAACACAAACAGTTCACTCTACTTCACATGTCCTAAACTAAACAATAAGGCAGTACAGGGGAAGTTTTATAATACCCTCATTGTATAATTTGATATTACAGACCTCATAGTTCAAATCTTCCACTCTTTGTTCCAGCTTTCTCAGATCTGTTTTCACACTTGATAAGTCAGTGGACTCAGAAACCTGTTCAAATAGAAAACTTAAGTACTAGCACACAAACAGAAAACTATCCAGATAGTAAACCTAAGAACTAGCACACTACTACAATCATAAATTATTCAAATAGTAAACCTTAGTATTAGCATACAAATACAATCAGCTAGACTCAAGCATAAGTCTAAAATGAAAATATTTAAAGAAAATGTTATATCAATAAAAACATCTTACTTGGTCTGGAACAACAGCTGGTTTCCCATCCAGACGGAGTGTCCTTAACTCACGCTCTAAGGCATCAATCCTGTCATCCCGTTGTCTAATCAAGTCTTTTAAGTCACTGTTGTCCCCATCTGCCAACCTGCTGATGAGATCATCAAAAAAAATAATAGTTAATTGCCTATAAATTATTTCAACCATTTTTTCTTTTCTTTTTTATGTTAAAATCACCCCAGAAAACAACAAAAGCACTATTTTGACATCCTGTACATAAGACTATATGAATTAATCAAGGGTAAAAAACTGAGAAGACATCTGAGTAGTTTGGAAAAGAGAAAAACAAAGTGGCTTAGTGATAAGTAACTTAATGAATTGTAGTCGTTAATTCAGATCAAAAGATATTTAAGAAAAAATTAATCATACAAATATATGATTAAATGACCGCTAAAACCAACTTACGATTTGGAATATGTTTCATGTATGGACCCAAACACCTGGTCTGTTGTGAGCTCACGGAATCTGACACGGTCAATCTAAGGACAATAGATTGGTTAAATGGATGGTCAATCTAAAGACAATAGATTGGTTAAATGGATGGTCAATCTAAAGACAATAGATTGGTTAAATGGATGGTCAATCTAAAGACAATAGATTGGTTAAATGGTTGATCTGACATGCTCAATCTAAGGACAATAGATTGGTTAAATGGATGGTCAATCTAAAGACAATAGATTGGTTAAATGGTTGATCTGACATGCTCAATCTAAGGACAATAGATTTGTTAAATGGATGGTCAATCTAAAGACAATAGATTGGTTAAATGGATGGTCAATCTAAGGACAATAGATTGGTTAAATGGTTGGTCAATCTAAGGACTATAGATTTGTTAAATGGTTGGTCAATCTAAGGACAACAGTTTTGTTAAATAGTTCATGTGACTAAGTCAATGTAAGGGAGACAATAGATTTGTTACAATTTAAGGATGACGGTTTTGTTACAATCTAAGGACAGCAGTTTTGTTACAATCTAAGGACAGCAGTTTTGTTACAATCTAAGGACAGCAGTTTTGTTACAATCTAAGGACAGCAGTTTTGTTACAATATAAGGACAGCAGTTTTGTTACAATCTAAGGACAACAGTTTTGTTACAATCTAAGGACAGCAGTTTTGTTACAATCTAAGGACAGCAGTTTTGTTACAATCTAAGGACAGCAGTTTTGTTACAATCTAAGGACAACAGTTTTGTTACAATCTAAGGACAGCAGTTTTGTTACAATCTAAGGACTAGTTTTGTCAAATACATGTGGGGTGGAGTGGTTGGTGGGGACGCAGTGGATCAAGCCTAAAACTGGCTGCAGACAAGTGATGTGTTCCCTAACACAACAGGGCTTGTGTTTAAATCTATATGATCCCTTTGCAGAAAATGTTATTCTCAAACTTCAACAGACACATTAATTTAACTTTTAAAAATTCATTTTAAAAAAAGAGAAAAAGATCTGAGATTCATTCCGATAATGTATATTTTAAAAAATTATCTTTACCTCCCACTTGCCAGACAGCCTTGCTGTTCTAATGACTGATATAAGTTGGTCAATATCATAGTTGAGGTTAGAGTTCTGTCCCCTGAGTTGTGTGCTAGACTCTTCCACGCGAGACAAGCGAGACTGGAGATCCTGGAAAGTGTTAACAAAATTGTTTTAGGTTTAAAAATTCAATAAAATCCTGGCAAGCGTTAATGAAAACTGCTTTAAGTTTTAAAAATTCAAAAAAATCCTGGCAAGCGTTAATGAAAACTGCTTTAAGTTTTAAAAATTCAAAAAAATCCTGGCAAGTGTTAACAAAAACTGTATGAATATGTGAAAAATACTGGCTGAGTTTACAAACTTTTAAAAACTTAAGCTTAATATACAAAAAATGCTTAATAATATACATTCATGTCAGTATAATCTATTGGGCCTGTTCATGAAAACTAACAACTGCTATTCATTAAAAAGTCAAAAGTGCAGATTTCAAGTTAGTATTAGCTTGAATTAATTTAAGAAAATAAAATGAATATCAAAGACTTCAATGAATCAACTCAGCTCTAATGGGTACTCTTTCTATAGTGCTAACCACACTACTCCAACATAAACCATATTGTTTTAAAAAATCATAGAGGACACTTAGACCAAGACAAAGGCTTAAAGGGATGCTCTAAATGCTTTTGCAAACTTAGAAGAAATAAAGATCAAATGTACACTAAAGTTTTGTGTAGAAAAGCCAAAATCCTCAACTTAACATAACATAAATCATATGTTAGCTTATTAGCCATAAGGGTAAGCTGTCAACCTGGTAAGACTTAGGGTTTAACTTCACACACAAGGTTTAACTGGCAAGGTGGCCACACATATGGTTTAACTGGCAAGGTGGCCACACATATGGTTTAACTGGCAAGGTGGTCACAGTTTTTATTGGCAGCCAGATCAAACATAGCTTTAACTGATTGCACACAGAATTTAACTGGCAAGGTGGCCACACATATGGTTTAACTGGCAAGGTGGCCACACATATGGTTTAACTGGCAAGGTGGTCACAGTTTTTATTGGCAGCCAGATCAAACATAGCTTTAACTGATTGCACACAGAATTTAACTGGCAAGGTGGCCACACATATGGTTTAACTGGCAAGGTGGCCACACATATGGTTTAACTGGCAAGGTGGTCACAGTTTTTATTGGCAGCCAGATCAAACATAGCTTTAACTGATTGCACACAGAATTTAACTGGCAAGGTGGCCACACATATGGTTTAACTGGCAAGGTGGCCACACATATGGTTTAACTGGCAAGGTGGTCACAGTTTTTATTGGCAGCCAGATCAAACATAGCTTTAACTGATTGCACACAGAATTTAACTGGCAAGGTGGCCACACATATGGTTTAACTGGCAAGGTGGTCACAGTTTTTATTGGCAGCCAGATCAAACATAGCTTTAACTGATTGCACACAGAATTTAACTGGCAAGGTGGCCACACATATGGTTTAACTGGCAAGGTGGTCACAGTTTTTATTGGCAGCCAGATCAAACATAGCTTTAACTGATTGCACACAGAATTTAACTGGCAAGGTGGCCACACATATGGTTTAACTGGCAAGGTGGTCACAGTTTTTATTGGCAGCCAGATCAAACATAGCTTTAACTGATTGCACACAGAATTTAACTGGCAAGGTGGCCACACATATGGTTTAACTGGCAAGGTGGCCACACATATGGTTTAACTGGCAAGGTGGTCACAGTTTTTATTGGCAGCCAGATCAAACATAGCTTTAACTGATTGCACACAGAATTTAACTGGCAAGGTGGCCACACATATGGTTTAACTGGCAAGGTGGCCACACATATGGTTTAACTGGCAAGGTGGTCACAGTTTTTATTGGCAGCCAGATCAAACATAGCTTTAACTGATTGCACACAGAATTTAACTGGCAAGGTGGCCACACATATGGTTTAACTGGCAAGGTGGTCACAGTTTTTATTGGCAGCCAGATCAAACATAGCTTTAACTGATTGCACACAGAATTTAACTGGCAAGGTGGCCACACATATGGTTTAACTGGCAAGGTGGTCACAGTTTTTATTGGCAGCCAGATCAAACATAGCTTTAACTGATTGCACACAGAATTTAACTGGCAAGGTGGCCACACATATGGTTTAACTGGCAAGGTGGTCACAGTTTTTATTGGCAGCCAGATCAAACATAGCTTTAACTGATTGCACACAGAATTTAACTGGCAAGGTGGCCACACATATGGTTTAACTGGCAAGGTGGTCACAGTTTTTATTGGCAGCCAGATCAAACATAGCTTTAACTGATTGCACACAGAATTTAACTGGCAAGGTGGCCACACATATGGTTTAACTGGCAAGGTGGCCACACATATGGTTTAACTGGCAAGGTGGTCACAGTTTTTATTGGCAGCCAGATCAAACATAGCTTTAACTGATTGCACACAGAATTTAACTGGCAAGGTGGCCACACATATGGTTTAACTGGCAAGGTGGCCACACATATGGTTTAACTGGCAAGGTGGTCACAGTTTTTATTGGCAGCCAGATCAAACATAGCTTTAACTGATTGCACACAGAATTTAACTGGCAAGGTGGCCACACATATGGTTTAACTGGCAAGGTGGCCACACATATGGTTTAACTGGCAAGGTGGCCACACATATGGTTTAACTGGCAAGGTGGCCACACATATGGTTTAACTGGCATGGTGGTCACACATATGGTTTAACTGGCATGGTGGTCACACATATGGCTAAACTGGCAAGGTCGTCACAGATAGTTTTCATTGGCAACCAGGCCATTAACACAGGGTTTAGCTAGCCAGCTGGTCACATATGTTTGTTAATACCAACCTCAATAAGAGTCTCTGCTCTTGTCTTCTCAACAGACAAACTTCTTAGCTCCCTTTCCAGCTCTCTACACTTCACTAGGTAGTCCTGGAAGTTGAAAAAAAAATTGCAATTTTCAAGCTTTGTTCAAAAAGTCACAAAAACCAATAGAAAATAATTATAACAAAATTTCTTCGTTTTTAACTGTTAAACAGTGTTATGAGTTTAAAAAAAAATAGTTAACTGTCATAAAACAAACAATAAAAAATCCAATCAACAGAAACATCAATTAGTAGAAAGTCACTATCTATAGTTATTGTAACATTTTATTTATGTTTCCAGCTGATATGGGGTGAGTAGAGTTTGACATTGTTTGATGGTATTATAAGCTGAGGGACATAAGTTAGTAGTATAGCCAATATGTACAGAATCAAAGGGTTGTGTAGGGGGATAAGAGATGGGGGAGGACCTGTATAAGTGATGTATAATGATGTATGTTTTGAAATGATGAAAGTGAAGTTGTATTACAATAGTATCATGTAAGTGAAGTTGTATTATAATGTAAGTGACTTTGAATTATAATTTTATAATTTGAGTGAATTTGTATTACTATGAATAGTTGTATTATAATATTTTCATGTAAGTGAAGTTGCATTACAATGTAAGTTATTGTAAGTAAAGATGTATTATAAATTGAGAATTGTAAAAAAAACTTTAGTTGGTTCAGATAAAAATTGAACAAAGCATGTGATACAGGACTGAAAGCTAAGACACTAAAATAGTATTGGACAATGCAATCTTTAAACTTCAAGGGCGGTAATCCTGTATTGGGAGGTTATCTCAGTAGTTGACTGATAAAACTTGAACAGTTAAAGTGCTCTGGAAGTAGTTTGTGTCAAATTATAAAGGACACTTGGGACAACTCAAGCTCAGTGAAATTTTAAAAATATACTTTTTTATCAGTCTTAACTTAAAGAAAGAATGCAATAAAATGAATATATAAGTCTATGAACAGCTATTGTAAACTACAAACACATATAAACAAAAGTTAATACACCATCTTACACCACCAACAACACACCAACTCACAAACACCACCTCAACTACCAACTACCAACAACTACCAAAAATTACTTACACACAACCAACACAGATATCAACAATTACATACACACATAGCAATAACTACCGACAGCTAACAACACACCAACACCAACAACACACATCCAAACAACTATCAACACATAGGCCTACCAAACAACAACGAACGCGCCTAGGCCTAAAAACATGCCACCCAAACCGCAGCTACCAAAAAGTACCGACCACATTTAATGACACACCAACATCTAACAACACACACAGCTAAGCGTGTACACAAAGTTAGGCCTACAAATAAAAACCACAAAACAAACCTCGTGAGAAACGTTAACAAAAACATTATGCACGAGACATAGACTAAAAAATAATTATAATAATGAGTAAAACAACTGATCTATCAAATAAAATGAAAGTGGATGACAACAAAATTAGATAAATACCGCGCACGGTGTCCCCTGTTTTTACCCTGTTTGTATTTACCGCGGGTAAAACGACTCGGACTTACATAAACGGAAAGCAGGAACGGTATGCCAACTTACAAACTAGATCTAGAATCGAACAACGTACGCAATATTTTAAACATACAGCCAAAAAGTGTATAGAGGTCTAGATCCCTCACTAATGTACCAAATGAAAGAAACACAAATTACACTTTAAAAAATAAATTAACAGACAGATGTAACCTTTTGTGCCTTATAATTTTTTGTTTTGTTTTTGATGACGCTTATAACTTAAATAATTTTCTACCTTCCTTGTTTATTTACAATAGCTAAGTAACACAATAGGTATGACAACATGCCCATGTATCATTTTCCCCCGCATAAAGTCAACTTACTTAAAACTCGCGCGATCTAATTGGAGGGACTCAAACATTTCAGCTTGAATCTTGTTAATTTTACCCCCATGTTGAAGTTTGTATAACAAGTAACCTAACACTATGTAAACATCGACCCCTTGACCCATACATTTCAAGTTGTCTATGACTTAATTAAAGACTGCCTCCCCAACCAAAGCCCAATCACCTGGGTAAACACGTGACTAGCGTCCACTCGGGTCTAGACAACATCACGTGACCCTGCTTGATTGACAGGACAAAACACATTTTGTTGGGGACGATCAACACAAATATGGAAACTCTGGGCAGGAGCACATAGCTACAGACACACATGGTGACAGGCTAATGGTACACATACACATTAACAGGAGCACATAGCTACAGACATACGGCGACAGGCTAATGGTACACATACACATTAACAGGAGCACATAGCTACAGACATACGGCGACAGGCTAATGGTACACATACACATTAACAGGAGCACATAGCTACAGACATACGGCGACAGGCTAATGGTACACATACACATTAACAGGAGCACATAGCTACAGACACACGGCGACAGGCTAATGGTACACATACATATTAACAGGAGCACATAGCTACAGACATACGGCGACAGGCTAATGGTACACATACATATTAACAGGAGCACATAGCTACAGACACACGGCGACAGGCTAATGGTACACATACATATTAACAGGAGCACATAGCTACAGACACACATGGTGACAGGCTAATGGTACACATACATATTAACAGGAGCACATAGCTACAGACACACGGCGACAGGCTAATGGTACACATACATATTAACAGGAGCACATAGCTACAGACACACATGGTGACAGGCTAATGGTACACATACACATTAACAGGAGCACATAGCTACAGACACACATGGTGACACACACGGCGACAGGCTAATGGTACACATACACATTAACACACATAAACAAACATCGCACATGTATTAACAGAGTCCGATTTATTATAATGTATATGCATGTAGGCCTATATAGGATGCGTGTCTGTATGTATGGGCCCCTTTATGTATAAAATATACATAATTATGTGCAAACATCGGTTTTTGTTTGTTTTACGAAACTTTAGACAGAAATGTTTAGTTTATCTCCTATCTCTGCTTTAAAAGCAAACGAGTTTTAACCACCAGTGCCCAACTACTTGAAGGTACAAGGGAAATAAGCAAAAATACAAAGAAAAAATAACAACGGGTAAAAAAGTAAAACATAGGTAAGGAGAAAATAAATAAAACAGTGAATGCATTAATTCAGCAGGGATGTCCTGGGATACTGCAAAATCAACAGCCGGGTACAGGACAAAAATGGAAGGTTATGTTTGAGGTCCTATGCTCCACAAGGTGTAAAGAGGATTAAGAAGAAGATTAAATAGTTGAACAAATGTGGGCAGCAATGGTTCACTTAACATTGCCTGCCACTTAACTTGCAGGAGAAAAGTGCTATATATTTGAAGAATTATAAGACTACCAACAGATAACAATCAGATAAAGATTCAACATTACAGTAACGGGAATTATTAGCTTGAGGAAGGTTTAAAAATGATCTGACTCATTATAAGTTTGTTGTTCTTTGGTGTGGAATATTTTACAAGCTCTGTCATTAAACATTAAATATAATCAGTTCTGTTATTATTGCAGACATCGTGGAAGTAAGGTAAACTCGATTCCTCCAATGCTAACCACATTGGATCGTCTGAGTTGTGCATGCTGCTTTTTATGTTGACAAAATATTTTTAAAAATAAAGCTTTTACAATTTTAACACTATAAACAACTAGAAAAAGTGCCCTACATAATTCATTACTTTGAGAGAGGAATAAAGTAGATTGTAAAATGTTATTCTGATATTATTTACTAATGTAAAATACTAAATATAACGCCCAACACAGCACTGGTAGCACAAGACAGTCGCTGATTAGTTTATTGTTGAAGGAGATATTCGGACACAGTCAAAAAATCTCCAATAAAGAAACGCACCATGTACTGATTGACATTTACATTCTCAATAACTTTTAATACGAAAAGGGAAAAAAAATCCCGAATCATGCAATACAATTTTTTTTTTTTTTTAAAAGTAAGGGGTCTCCATAAACAGCAGTTATTTTGCCAATTCGCGCAAGCAAAGGTACAATGTTTGTCTGGTGCCACCCCCTCCCCCACCCACAAACAAGAGGCTGCTGTATGTAATGGTCAGGAATTAAGCTTTGATCTGTGTCTAACAATCACTGCCAAGCATCGAATTACATGTGACGATTTGCATTTTTTCAATGTGTTGTCATATCCCCCTATCGTTAAGAATGTGATCAGTTATTAAAAACCAATTCATTCAAACTTTCGCTTTAGTGTCACCCACTAAACGGTGCCCCAGGTGAGATCCAAACCCCCTTCCCCCATTGTGCCGCTACTACATGTAGCCTACCAATAAAACATGTATGCCGATAATATACACACGAACAGACATGCCAATATTACTATACTTCATACACACAGATTGTGTTCTATTATAAAAAGAATGTAGTTCCTACAGTCCACTAAATCAGCGACACACACACACAAACACACATTGTGTTCTATTATAAAAAGATTGTAGTTCCTACAGTCCACTAAATCAGCGACACACACACACACACACACACACATAGATTGTGTTCTATTATAAAAAGATTGTAGTTCCTACAGACCACTAAATCAGCGACCCACACACACGAATTGTTGCGCTGCGTCATGGTGTGATTCGACTACCAGCAGCACTTTATCCCTAAAGAGGTTTTGGTTGTAGCTATAATTTAAAGCAGCGTGCAATTTTAGATATTTTCTTTATAAATTAAAAAAAAAATTGAGTTTTTCTGTAATATTCAATGGTTTGACTTTATAACGACCAACTTCAGTAGGCCCATCTTAGTATAAAACCGCAAAGTTCCAAACTAATAGTTTATGGAGTCTAGTGTTTTAAAATACAAAGAAAAATTGTTCTGTGCTTTACTTTTTAATGGAAAACTTCCTTTATTATCTATTGCAGGGGTCTCCAAACTACGGCCCGCGGGCCGTATGCGGCCCGCGAGGTCCTCTCATCCGACCCGCGGAGATCATTTTGTCCACGGAAAAACCGTTTGTTGGTGATGGCTGAGGA